ATAGACTCAGCACTACCCATAGACTCAACACTGCCCATTAACTCAACACTACCCATAGACTCAACACTGCCCATAGACTCAATACTGCCCATAGACTCAACACTGCCCATAGACTAACCACTAACCATTGACTCAACACTACCCATAGACTCAACACTGCCCATAGACTCAACACTACCCATAGACTCAACACTGCCCATTAACTCAACACTGTCCATAGACTCAACACTACCCATAGACTCAACACTACCCATAGACTCAGCACTACCCATAGACTCAGCACTACCCATAGACTCAACACTGCCCATAGACTCAACACTACCCATAGACTCAGCACTACCCATAGACTCAACACTACCCATAGACTCAACACTACCCATAGACTCAGCACTACCCATAGACTCAACACTACCCATAGACTCAACACTGCCCATAGACTCAACACTACCCATAGACTCAACACTACCCATAGACTCAGCACTACCCATAGACTCAACACTACCCATAGACTAACACTGACCCATAGACTCAACACTGTCCATAGACTCAACACTGCCCATAGACTAACACTACCCATAGACTCAACACTGAAATTCAACGTCTACACAACATGTTTAAAATGCTTGACACGTACCATTTGGAAATGTAGAAATGCACACTTTCCTGTTTACTCAACAGTTAAGGGCGATACATTTTTTAATATTAAAGTGAGTCATTCCTGTCGCTCCCACGAGCCATTGGAGCTCATCCCCCGTTTCCAGAGCCGGTGATTGAAATTCCACATTCCTGTGGCGGGAGCGCGTCTATCCACAAGACAACCCACTCCACACTGTTTACTTCACCACAAAGTCGTACTGATTTTATCGAACCCGGATGGAGGGATAGTGATGATGATGATGGGCTAAGTCAATCTCCCCAACTCTCTTCAATCCTCCAACCCCGATTTGAACTCACATACTTCAGATTTCGATTTAAAGCTTTCGTGACTGCAGGGATTCATCTTCTTGGTTCTTTCGGTAAAGTCACGTAGCAGGGAAATAATAAAATAATTAAAATAAAACATAATAAAATACAATTCTCACGACGTTTCGGCCACAACGCAAGCAGCCGTCCTCAGGTGAAAATGAAACACCACCAAGCTTGGAGCGTATATTTAAGCTGGGTTGGTGGAAACGTCGTGAGAATTATTTTATTATGTTTTATTTTTATTATTTTATTGTTTCCATTCTACGTGACTTTACCGAAAGAACCAAGAAGATACTTCAGATTGTGAGCGGCTCTGCGTACTCACTCGTTGCCCTGTGGCTGGTCTGGTTCCTGCCATGGGAACGTGGAATTCCCACCACTGGCCCAGGACTGCCAACAGCGTGCTGCCCCCATTGGTGATTTGAGAAGGGAAGACGCTCTTGAGTTGATCGCAGAAGCGCGGATTTGAGCCTGGTTAGTGCGGTACTCGAATGGGGGACCACCAGGGCTTGCCAGGTGCTGTAGGCATAAGGGGGGGGGCTGCAGTGAGGTGTCTCCCCCACCGGTTGTCTCCGTGGGTCTCTGTGTCTCAGTGTCTCTGAGTGTCTCCCCCCTTGTGTACAGCAGCAGCAGCAGGGTGCAGGGTTGTCTCTGTGTCTCTGAGTGTCTCCCCCCTCGTGTTCAGCAGCAGCAGCAGGGTGCTGGGTTGTCTCTGTGTCTCTGAGTGTCTCCCCCCTCGTGTACAGCAGCAGCAGCAGCAGGGTGCAGGGTTGTCTCTGTGTCTCTGAGTGTCTCCCCCCTCGTGTTCAGCAGCAGCAGCAGGGTGCAGGGTTGTCTCTGTGTCTCTGAGTGTCTCCCCCCTCGTGTACAGCAGCAGCAGGGTGCAGGGTTGTCTCTGTGTGTCTGAGTGTCTCCCCCCTCGTGTTCAGCAGCAGCAGCAGGGTGCAGGGTTGTCTCTGTGTCTCTGAGTGTCTCCCCCCTCGTGTTCAGCAGCAGCAGCAGGGTGCAGGGTTGTCTCTGTGTCTCTGAGTGTCTCCCCCCTCGTGTACAGCAGCAGCAGCAGCAGGGTGCAGGGTTGTCTTTGTGTCTCTGAGTGTCTCCCCCCTCGTGTACAGCAGCAGCAGCAGCAGGGTGCAGGGTTGTCTCTGTGTCTCTGAGTGTCTCCCCCCTCGTGTACAGCAGCAGCAGCAGCAGGGTGCAGGGTTGTCTCTGTGTCTCTGAGTGTCTCCCCCCTCGTGTACAGCAGCAGCAGCAGCAGGGTGCTGGGTTGTCTCTGTGTCTCTGAGTGTCTCCCCCCTCGTGTTCAGCAGCAGCAGCAGCAGCAGGGTGCTGGGTTGTCTCTGTGTCTCTGAGTGTCTCCCCCCTCGTGTACAGCAGCAGCAGCAGGGTGCTGGGTTGTCTCTGTGTCTCTGAGTGTCTCCCCCCTCGTGTACAGCAGCAGCAGCAGGGTGCTGGGTTGTCTCTGTGTCTCTGAGTGTCTCCCCCCTCGTGTTCAGCAGCAGCAGGGTGCAGGGTTGTCTCTGTGTCTCTGAGTGTCTCCCCCCTCGTGTACAGCAGCAGCAGCAGCAGGGTGCTGGGTTGTCTCTGAGTCTCTGAGTGTCTCCCCCCTCGTGTACAGCAGCAGCAGCAGCAGGGTGCTGGGTTGTCTCTGTGTCTCTGTGTCTCTGAGTGTCCCCCCCCCCCCTCGTGTACAGCAGCAGCAGGGTACTGGGTTGTCTCCGTGTCTCTGTGTCTCTGAGTGTCCCCCCCCCCCTCGTGTACAGCAGCAGCAGAAGCAGCATGGTGCTGGGTTGTCTCTGTGTGTCTCCCCCTCGTGTACAGCAGCAGCAGCAGGGTGCTGGGTTGTCTCTGTGTCTCTGAGTGTCTCCACCTCGTGTACAGCAGCAGCAGGGTGCTGGGTTGTCTCTGTGTCTCTGAGTGTCTCCCCCCTCGTGTACAGCAGCAGCAGCAGGGTTATGGGTTGTCTCTGTGTCTCGGTGTCTCTGAGTGTCTCCACCTCGTGTACAGCAGCAGCAGCAGGGTGCTGGGTTGTCTCTGTGTCTCCGAGTGTCTCCCCCCTCGTGTACAGCAGCAGCAGCAGGGTGCTGGGTTGCCTCTGTGTATCTGAGACAGTCTGTTACAGGCTACACGGGGGGTCTTTGTCTTTGTGTGCGGGTGAGTGAGTGAGTGAGCAAGTTGGTCGAATCAGCCTCAGAGAGAAGTCGCTGTTGGCCACCCACCCCCTCGTGTGCCGTGCCCGTAGCCTTCATCGGCGGTGCTCGCCAACAGCACTTGCCCAAACAGTCGGGAGATCTTAGTCTTGTATCGCACACACGCACACGCACACACGCACGCACACACGTGTGTGAAGAAGCACACGTGCCAAAACACGTCGCACGCGCCCACATGGGCACACGTGTGTGTGCGTACAGCGGTGTGTGTGTGTGTGCAGCGGTGTGTGTGTGCGTCGTCTGTCAAGGCTAACACGGGGGATCTTTCTCTTGTTTCACACACACACCGCTGCACACACACGCTGCACACATGCTCGCACACATACACACGCACACACACCGTTGTACACACACACCGTTGTACACACACACGCACACACACCGTTGCACACGCACACACACCGTTGCACACACACACGCACGCACACACACGCATACACACCCCGTTGCACTCACACACACACGCACACCGCTGCACACACGCACACACATCGCTGCACCCACGCACCACGTGTGCGTGCAGCAGTGTGTGTGTGTGCGTGGTCACGTGTGCGTGTGTGACGCGCTTTGGCAATGTGTCAAAGAATTACATTAATAAAAAGAACCCGAGTGTACATGACCTTGCAATTTGGCGAGCAGAGTTCCCTGTGGTGCGCGTGTGTTTGGAGTGTATGTGCGCAATTATGTGTGTGTCTGTGTGTGTGTCTGTGTGTGTGTCTGTGTTTGTGTGTCTGTGTGTGTGTGCCTGTGTGTGTGTCTGTGTGTGTGTGTCTGTGTGTCTATGTGTGTGTGTTTATCTGTGTGTGTCTGTGTGTGTTTATCTGTGTGTGTCTGTGTGTGTGTATGTCTGTGTGTCTGTGTGTGTGTCTGTCGATGTAACTTACCGCACGTGCTCCTGTGTGTGTCTGTGTGTATGTCTGTGTGTGTCTGTGTGTGTGTCTGTGTGTGTCTGTGTGTGGGTGTGGGGAGCGGTAGTGTAGTGGTTAGCGCTACGCTGCGCTACAAACCCGGCGACCCGGGGTTCGATTCCCGCTCACGGCCAACACCGGTGACGATTATCTGAACCGGTCCCGGGCCTCTCCTAGGTCGACTCAGCCTCAAATGAGTACTTGGTGCGATGTGGGAAACAAAGGTGGCCAGGCGTGGTGCTGGCGACCCACCCCCTCGTGTGCCGTGTCGGCCTTTATAGGCGCCCGCGAACAGCACTTGCCCCAACAGCCTGTTGAGGCTACGCAGGGGGCGTCTCTGCCTTTGTCTTTGCGCGTGTTCAACGTTTTGCCCAAGCAGAGCGGTGGCGCAGCGGTTAGCGCGCTGCGCCACGAACCCAGCGGACACCGAAGTCCACGTGACCGCTGACAGCCAACACCACGTGACGATTATCTTAAAACCGGTTCGTGCACCTCCACCTAGGTCGACTCAGCCTCAAACGAGTAACCTGGTGCTGCGGGTAGAAATGCTGGTGGATGTCTGCTGGCCACCCAACCAATCGCGTGCCTGTGGCCGGCCTTCACAGGTGAACCGGTTCCTGGGCCTCCCCCCTAGGTCGACTCAGCCTCAAATGAGTACCCCGCTGCTGTGTGTAGGACACGTGGCGTGCGCGTCACCACCCACCCAACGCGATTGCCATGGACACTTGCCCCAAAAGTCTGCTTGAGGCTAAGCGGGTGGTGGGAGCAAGGGGGGGGGAGGGGGGCAAGGGGAGGGGCGAGGGGGGGGGGGGCAAGGGGAGGGGGGCAAGGGGGGTGAGGGGAGGGGCGAGGGATCTTTGTCTTATCGTCGCAGTCCTCTCAAGTCACGTGACCTTCGTTTGCGTGTTTGACGCAGGGTCAGGAGGGCTGGCAGGGATCTCCGGGCCCACCTGGTGAGACGGTGAGTCTGAACCTTCACCCCCCCCCTCCCCATTCATTTACTCTGTACCCCCTCCCTCTCCCCATCGAACCCCGCAGTTATATTGCAGCGGTAGAAATCCTCGGAAGCACATTCATCTAGCCCCACCAGTTGTAGCGCAGCGGTAGAAATCCTCGGAAGCACATTCATCTAGCCCCACCAGTTGTAGCGCAGCGGTAGAAATCCTCGGAAGCACATTCATCTAGCCCCACCAGTTGTAGCGCAGCGGTAGAAATCCTCGGAAGCACATTCATCTAGCCCCACCAGTTGTAGCGCAGCGGTAGAAATCCTCGGAAGCACATTCATCTATCTCCACCAGTGACATTGCAATAATCAGCTGAAGCCTCCAGTACACCACGTGACTGCCGTATGGCCACCCCCACTCTGGACCCCTCCCCTCTCCCCTTCGCCGCCCCCTTTGAAAACAGACGCCGCTCCGTGCAGCAGCAGCAGCGTCGAGGCCCTGACGCTTCCTCCTTCCTCCTCCCCCTCCTCCTCCTCCTCCCCCTCCTCCCCCTCCTCCTCCTCCTCCCCCTCCTCCCCCCCTCCTCCTCCTCCCCCTCCTCCACCTCCTCATTCCTCCTGACTCTGTGCTCCCGTTCCTCCGCTCCTTGTCCACCCCCGTGTCCACCACTTTCTCTTTATCTCTCTCTTCCCTCTCCCATCCCTTTCTCGTGTTCCACTCATTACCTCCTTGACTGTACTCCCCTTCCCCGTGGTAGTGGTGGTGGTGGTGGTGCCAAGAGGCAAAACAACCGGGCTGGATATTGATGCCCTTGTTAACGTTACTAAAACTGAACACGTTTTTATTTTTTATTGTATTTAACCAGGTAAGGCCCCGCTGAGCCTCGGCAGCTATTTTTCAGAAGCGACCCTGTGCCACCTACAAATGATGTCAGATCGCGTTATTGTTTATTCACGTGTCGTAACCCTCCACCACCCGACACGGCCAATCAGTGAAAAAGTGTCACGTTGACAAAAGACAAAATAGTTCACTACTTTAGCCCACCGGTGTGTTGATGATGACGATGATGACAATGATGATGACGATGATGATGACAATGATGACGATGATGGTGACGATGGTGGCAATGATGATGACGATGATGATGACAATGATGACGATGATGATGATGACGATGATGACGATGATGATGACGACAATGATGACGACGATGATGTGTTGCTCTGCGTGCGTGCACGTGCGCGTGTGTGCGCGTGTGCGTGCGTGTGTGTGTGCGTATGTGTGTGCGCGCGTGTGTGTGCGCGCGTGTGTGTGTGTATGCGCGTGTGTGTTTGTGCGCGTGTGTATGCGCGTGTGTGCGCGTGTGTGTGCGTGTGTGTGTCGGTGTGCGTGTGTGTGTGTGTGCGTGTGTGTGCGTGTGCACGCGCGTGTGTGCGTGTGTGTGTATGCGCGTGTGTGTGTCGGTGTGCGTGTGTGTGGGTGTGCGCGCGCGTGTGCGTGTGTGTGTATGCGCGTGTGTGTGTCGGTGTGCGTGTGTGTGTGCGTGTGTGTGTGCGCGCGCGTGTGTGCGTGTGTGCGTGTGTGTGTGTGCGCGCGTGTGCGTATGTGTGTGCGCGCGTGTGTGCGTGCGCGTGTGTGTGTGTATGCGTGTGTGTGTTTGTGCGCGTGTGTATGCGCGTGTGTGCACGTGTGTGTGTATGCGCGTGTGTGGGTCGGTGTGCGTGTGTGTGTATGCGCGTGTGTGTGTCGGTGTGCGTGTGTGTGTGCGTGTGTGTGCGTGTGCGCGCGCGTGTGTGTGTGTGTGTGGGTGTGTGTGTGCGCGTGTGCGCGCGTGTGTGTGTGCGCGTGTGTGCGCGCGTGTGTGTGCGTGCGCGCGTGTGTGTGTGTGCGCGTGTGCGCGTGTGTGCGCGCGTGTGTGTGCGTGCGCGCGTGTGCGTGTGTGCGTGTGCGCACGTGTGCGCGTGTGTGTCGGTGTGTGTGTCGTTTGCTAGGGCCCACGCGGATCTGACGGGAATCCTGGAGCAAAAGGATACCCTGGCAGGCAGGTGCAGTGAAACTACGGGGATCTCATTGCTGCCGGTTCCAAATCGTTGCTACGATTAACTTGGGAGAGGGGGGGGGTGGGGGGGGTTGGTGGACCACACCACGTGGTGGGGCGGTTCGTTTGGTGTTGGTGACGGGGCGCGACCGGTGGTACCGCGTCGTTGTCACAAATAGCAACATTTAAACAAAAAAAATCTCTCGCTCGCTATATCCGCTATCGGACAGCTCGGCATCTGGTGAAAAAGAGCTTTATAGCTCTTCGGATTCCTCCAGTATGAATATTCTGATTCTGGTGGGGACGGGTGGTATCTAAAAGCGATGGAAATTCCACGTTATTTTTCACAGAGACTGATTGTGTCTGTGTGTGTGTGTGTGGGGAGCGGTCCGGCCTTCATAGGTGCTCGCTAACAGCACTTGCCCCTACAGTCTGTTAAGGCTATACGGGGGATCTTTGTCTTTGTCTTTGTGGGGAGCGGTGGTGCAGCGGTTAGCGCTACGCTGCGCTACGAACCCGGCGTACCAAGTTCAATTCCCGCTCACGACCAACACCATTATCTGAACCGGTCCTGGGCCTCCGCTAGGTCGACTCAGCCTTCAAACGAGTAACCCGGTGCGGCGAGTAGCAAACATCGCCACTGGGGAGGGAGACAAAGGCGGCCGCTACTTTCCCCGACATCCCGTTAAGGGCTATGGGGGGGGGGGGGTGGGGGTGTTGGATCCTTGTCCTCGTAGATGTGTGCGGTAATCGTCGTCTCTCTCCCCAGGGTTTGCCTGGTCCTGTCGGCCGCTCTGGTCCTAAAGGCGCTGCGGTAAGTAGCCGGGCACTCCCCGGTCTGGGGCATTGCCAAAGAGAGGGAAAGAAAATCGAACGGGGAAAGGAAAAACCACGCACGGCGCATGGATTCCGTACACGCCTTTCGCAACATCGCCTCCCCTACTGCCAGACTAACACACAGAGGCAGCTGCCGCTGGGGATGTCCCTAGGCGAAACCACACGGCAGCAGAATCACACCCCTCAAAGGCAACCAAACACTCATTAAAGCGTTCGTCAATTAATGCTCGTGTAAGCCTTTTAAAAGCATTGTACACACAGATTTGAAGCCTTCGTGACTGCAAGGATTCATATTCTTAGGTTATTTCGGTAAAGTCACGTAGGTAAAAAATTAAAATTGATCAAAGTAAAATAAAAAATAAAATAAAAATCACGACGTTTCGGAGGCAACACAAGCTGTATCAGCTACCGTGGCTGTGACGGTTCCACCTGAAGACGGAGGCTTGTGTTGCCTCCGAAACGTCGTGAATTATTATTTTATTTTTATTTACTTTTATTAATTGTTTTTTTTTTACCTACGTGACTTTACAGATAAAACCTAAGAATATTATACACACACACCCATACGACGTTTCGGACAAGTGCCCTCGTTCATGGCGGATGAACCAGCGGATGTCTGCGGCGATGGGGGGGCTCGGCTGGCGGTGAGAGTATGTGCCCCTGGACCACATCGTACATGTCCTCACCATGCAGTCCGTGGGCATATACACTCACTGCCAGCATCGCCATCAACATCCTCATCAACATCGTCAACATTGTCATAGACAATCACTGCCAGCATCCTCATCAACATCGTCGTCAACATCGTTAGCGACAGCAGCAGCAGCAATTATCATCATCAGCAGCAGCAGAATAATCATCATCATCATCAGCAGCAGCAGCAGCAGAATTATCATCATCATCATCATCAACAAGACCAGTACCATTCTCATTGCAGTGATAATCATCAGCAGTCTACCACCAGCAGTAGCGGCCACACTATATGAATCACTTGCCATCCTTCTCATTCGCATCATCATCAGCATTACCGTGATCATCAGCATCATCATCAGCATTATCGTGATCATCAGCAGCAGCATCATCATCATTATCGTGATCAGCAGCAGCATCAACATCAGCATTATCGCGATCATCATCAGCAGCAGCATCATCATCATCAGCATTACCGTGATCAGCAGCAGCATCATCATCATCAGAATTATCGTGATCAGCAGCATTATCCGCAGCATTATCGTGATCAGCAGCAGCATCATCATCATTATCGTGATCAGCAGCATAATCATCAGCAGCATTATCGCGATCATCATCAGCAGCAGCATCATCATCAGCATTACCGTGATCAGCAGCATCATCAGCAGCATTATCGTGATCAGCAGCATCATCAGCATTATCGTGATCAGCAGCAGAATCATCATCATCAGCATTATCGTGATCAGCAGCATCATCAGCATTATCGTGATCATCAGCATCATCATCAGCATTATCGTGATCATCAGCAGCAGCATCATCATCATTATCGTGATCAGCAGCAGCATCATCATCAGCATTATCGTGATCAGCAGCATCATCAGCAGCATTATCATGATCATCAGCATCATCATCAGCATTATCGTGATCATCAGCAGCAGCATCATCATCAGCATTATCGTGATCAGCAGCATCATCATCATCAGCATTATCGTGATCATCAGCAGCATCATCATCAGCAGCATTATCGTGATCAGCAGCAGCAGCATCACCATCAGCCCCATTGTCACTTCTGCACAGCCCGTACCAAAGTTGCTCTTCCAGACGCTGCAAGTTTCCATCCGGACCAAATCGCCAGCGAGCAACACACGTAGCCGTGTGCAACTGTTGACCTTGTGCCATAACCCAACTTGTGTTGCAGGGATTCGTAGGAATTCCCGGCATAATGGGATTGCCCGGACTGGATGGTGACACAGTAAGTGACACTTCAATGGTTTGACACCTCATTTGTATTTTTACCCGGTGAGGCACACTGAGCCGTATCGCGAGATGTTGACTACCTCGCCTGGTGTACAGGAGGTCGTGGGTTCGATCCCGACCCTGACGCCTGCTGCTGTCTATTTGGAGTTTGCGTCTCTCTCTCTCATCATCATCACGGTGGCTAGGAGATGTTAACTACCTCGCCTGGTATACAGGAGGTCGTGGGTTCGATCCCGACCCTGACGTCTGCTGCTGTATATTTGGAGTTTGCGTCTCTCTCTCTCATCATCATCATCACGGTGGCTAGGAGATGTTAACTACCTCGCCTGGTATACAGGAGGTCGTGGGTTCGATCCCGACCCTGACGTCTGCTGCTGTATATTTGGAGTTTGCGTGTCTCTCTCTCTCATCATCATCACGGTGGCTAGGAGATGTTAACTACCTCGCCTGGTGTACAGAAAGTCGTGGGTTCAATCCCGACCTTGACGCCTGCTCTGTACATGTGGAGTTTGCGTGTCTCTCTCTCTCTGCTCTGTGGATTTTTCTCCATGCCCCTCCGGCTCCCCCCCCCCCCCTCCGCATTTAAAAATGAACCATCACGCGCGTTCAGAGTCATTTGGCTGCCGCTATAAATTCTAGAGTTGAAGCTTTCGTAACTGCAAAGATTCATACTCTTAGGTTTTTTCGGTAAAGTTACGTGGGTAAATTTTTTTTTAATTAATAAAAGTAAAATAAAATTAAAAAATCACTTTACTGACTATTCTCGGTCTTATTTTTATTTTACTTTTATTGATTTTATTTTTTTTACCTACGTGATTTTACCGAAAAAACCTAAGAATATGCCGCTATGAATGTGCACACGCCGAATCGACGACGACGACGAAGATGATGATGATGAAACCACTTTGTTAGGCTGTCAATTGTGATTGGCCAGTTCAAGTCGCTTCTGAAAATAAAAGAGAGAGAGCTACGTTTTAGAAAATGTTTTTAATTTTTAAACATCGATGACGACTGACTTGTGCGAACCGGTGTTTGTTGATGTTCTTTACGTTTCGAGGGCATTCTGGGACTTCCAGGGAAGATCGGCGACTTGGGACGTGTGGTACGCCATGCGATCGCTCCACCTCGGATGTTTATTTCAGTTTTTCAGTTTCATTGATTTGGTGTAGCCCTGTGAGCCACTCGGCTCTGGAATCGGGTGCAACCGCAACAAACTAAAACATGAACAAGAAAACATCTTAAAGTGACTATCTGACTATGTGCAAACAGAAAATCCAGGAAAATAATATAAGAATGTACACCATTGGAACCTCCTATGCAAGTAGAAAAATATGATAACTGTTTTTTTTTTGTGTAAATGCTTACCCCGAGCTCTCATACTCTGATGGTGCATTGTCTTTGAGTTGTGCACCTTTTGGCGTCATCTGGTCCAACACCATGTGAGACTAGGCTCTAAGAAAAGCTGTCTCGGGTGTGGACCAATCAACTTCAAGGACAGTGCACATACATTATCAGAGTTGTGTTTTTTGTTTGCATTCCGACCGCAAGTATTGTGGTCAATGCAAACATGACTCCTTGTAAAAAAAGTTGTCAGTTTTGTTGCCAGATAAAAGGGTGAAAACCCCAATTATCATATTTTGCGACTGGCAAAGGAGATTTCAATGGTGTTGTGTTTTCGATGATTTGACCTCCGAAAAAAAGTCTGACCGCGTCTCAGCACCCCCCAGAAAGGGCATCTCGCATCCCCAGGGGGTAGCGTACCCCCCCCTCACCCCGGGTTAAGAAGGCAAATTATTTTTTTATTTTTTTTAAAGTTTATTTTTTAGGTATAGCCCTGTGAGCCATTCGGCTCTTGATAAGAAGACGAAAAAGACCCCTCTGATCCAGATTGCACACTCGTTTCTTTAGAGCTGCTTTTGAGTGTTTAATGTGTAACACGGTTGGCTACGTACGGTGCTAAAGAAGTTCAACATGCAGTGCATTCATAGAGACGCGCTTCTGCGGCCGTCTGGAACGCTCTTCCTTCCGATATTTGAAAGCCGCTGGGAGAAACGATGCACTTTTAAATCATTAGCTAGATTTACGAACTAATTTCTTTAGAACTCGACTTAAAGCTTTCGTGACTGCAGGAATTCATATTTTTTGGGGTCTTTCGGTAAAGTCACGTTAGATAGGTTGAGAGAAAAGAACAACAAAAACTACGTTTCTATGTCAAGCTTTCGTTACTGCAGGGATTCATCTTCTTGGTTCTTTCGGTGAAGTCACGTAGAAGGGAAATAATAAAATAATAAGAATAAAACATAATAAAATACAATTCTCACGACGTTTCGGCCACAATGCCGAAACGTCGTGAGAATTGTCGGCAGACCTGTTCTTCACTGAGGACGGCTGCTTGCGTTGTGGCCGAAACGTCGTGAGAATTATTGTATTATGTTTTATTTTTATTATTTTATTATTTCCCTTCTACGTGACTTTACCGAAAGAACCAAGAAGAAAAAAACTACGTTTTTTGTCATTTTCTTTCGGGGAACTGATGTTTTGCGTTCAGTTTGTAGCACGGTTGTCTACGTACGGTGCGAAAGAAGTTTAACGTGCACGCACACACACACGTGCGTGTGTGTGTGCGTGCCGTGGTGGTTCTATCCTCGATCCGCACGGAACTTTCCAATGTGCGCTTGCAGGGATTCGTAGGTGAGCCTGGAGAGAGGGGACTGCCAGGTTTGGATGGGAACCCGGTAAGTCGCTGTGTGTGTGTGTGTCTACACGGTATGAACCGGTCACGGACCTCCCCTAGGTCGACTCAGCCTCAAATGTGTACCTGGTGCGATGCGTAAGTGTCGACGTTAGGGAGACAAAGGCGGCCGGGCGTGGTGCTGGCCACTCATCCGCGTCGCGTGCTGTGCCGGCCTTCACAGGTGCTGCTCGCTAACAGCACTTGCCCCACCAGTCTGTTAAGGCTATACGGGGGGCCTTTGTCTTTTGTCTATATATGTGTCTGTCTAAGCATGTGTGTCTACACAGTGTCTGTGTGTGTGTGTGCACAGTATGCGTCTGTGTGTGTCTATATATAAGTGGCTAGTCATCTGAGTCAGTCGACCCGTAGCACCTGCTGGGTCTGCCCCGTGACCTTCTGCCAGCGGGCGTTCGACACTTCACGTGGCCTCGACGTTCACCTAGCCTGGCACAAGCGTCGTGGTGACGTCACCGCTACTAAGTGGCGAATGGCGGTTGTTGTTGTCTATATATATATGTGGGGAGCGGTGGTGCAGCGGTTAGCGCTACACTGGACTACGAACCCAGCGGCCCCGAGTTCGATTCCCGCTCACGGCCAACACCAACAGTGACGATTATCTGAACCGGTCCTGGGCATCCCCTAGGTCGACTCAGCCTCAAATGAGTTACCTGGTGCGGTGCGTAAACATCGCCACTGGGGAGACAAAGGCGCTCGGACGTGGTGCTGGCCACCCACCCCCTCGTGAGCCGTGCCGGCCTTCATAGGTGCTGCTGCTCGCTAACAGCACTTGCCCCGACAGTCTGTGGAGGCTACACGGGGGGTCTTTGCCTTTGTGTATCCATTGGTGTAGCTCAAGAAGCCAACGGTAGCTGTCCCAGTGGATTTATTTGTCATTACGCCTGCCCGCGCCTCACACTGATTGGCTGTTGTCTTCTTTTTTTCCCAGGGTGCACTTGGAGCTCCTGGACCAATGGGAGTGAGAGGGCTGGCGGTGAGGCCTGCTCTATAATACAAGCGGATTACTTTCTTTAATGAATGGATTACTTTCTAATTGACCGCTTACTTTTTGGCTCAATCATTGAGTTACTTTCTGACAACGTCATTGAATTACTTTCTAAAAGCGGTTGATTTAAAATTCTGATTCAACCGTTAGATTACTTTGAAATGTACGAATTCCATTCTCATTTCGGAATTTTAATTGCTTCGTATTTTTCCCGATTGCCACTTTCTTATTTACTAACCACGTCTCCCATTTCACTGTTGGATTATGGGGGTCCCCCCCCCCCCCAAAGCTATCGAAGGCAGAATACCGGCGCATTGCTTGTTTATGTTTGCCCAGAATGCACTGCGAGCCAATGGGGGTGATATGGTGGGGGGGAGGTCAACCCTTCTCTTTTGTGGGGAGCGGTGGTGTAGTGGTTAGCGCTATGCTGTGCTACGAACCCGGCAACCCGAGTTCGATTCCCGCTCACGGCCAACACCGGTGACGATTACCTGAACCGGTCCTGGGCCTCCCCTAGCTCGACTCAGCCTCAAATGAGTACCTGGTGCGATGTGTAAAAGGCGGCCAGGCGAATGTGCTGGCCACCCACCCCCTCGTGTGCTGTGCCGGCCTTCATTGGTTCTCGCTGACAGCACTTGCCCCAACAGTCTGTCCAGGCTATACGGAGGATCTTTGTCTTTGTAGGTCACTCCCTCTCTTATGCTCTTCCCCATGTTTTCCTTCCCACTCCCTCCCCACCACCACCACCACCAATCATGTTGCAATCCAGGGAGACCAAGGCTGTCCGGGCTCTCGGGGAATTCCCGGGATTCGAGGATATAAGGTCGGGAATTCCGGACTCGTCCCATCCCAAACCTTCATGCGAACGCGGGTTAAAAATATACATAAGTAAATAAGTAGGGGGTAGTGGGGTCCAAAGGGGCAGGCCTGCAATTTCACCACGCTGGGGGAAGGGGGCTCTGCGCCACGGGCAGTCGTGGAGAGCTCCTCTCCGGAGAGAGGTTATTGGGGCGCTGATAAAATCGTACACCTGATTTTTAAAAAATCACGGATTCATTCCCCCCTAAACAGATGCTCCTCTACTTGCGAACATTCGACTTACGGACTTGCAGAGACACGAACAAAGCCGGTCCGTACGTCCAGTTGCCTGTTTGGACCGAGAGTCGTGAGTTCAACCGTCGCGCAATAGATGGCGGTGGTGGCATCTACATCTACAGAACGTGATGAACCAGTGGCAACTACATCTGCAGAACGTGAAGAACCAGTGGTATCTACATCTGCAGAACGTGAAGAGCCAGTGGCATCTATATATACAAAACGTGAAGAACCAGTGGCATCTACATCTACAGAACGTGAAGAATCAGTGCCATCTACATCTGCAGAACGTGAAGAACCAGTGGCATCTACATCTGCAGAACGTGAATAACCAGTGGCATCTACATCTTCAGAACGTGAAGAACCAGTGGCATCTACATCTACAGAACGTGAAGAACCAGTGGCATCTACATCTACAGAACGTGAAGAACCAGCGGCATCTACATCTGCAGAACGTGAAGAACCAGTGGCATCTACATCTTCAGAACGTGAAGAACCAGTGGCATCTACATCTACAGAACGTGAAGAAGCAGTGGCATCTACATCTACAGAACGTGAATAACCAGTGGCATCTACATCTACAGAACGTGAATAACCAGTGGCATCTACATCTACAGAACGTGAATAACCAGTGGCATCTACATCTACAGAACGTGAAGAACTAGCAGCATCTACATCTGCAGAACGTGAAGAACCAGTGGCATCAAAAGAATTGTAACACTTATATGGGGCTAGTGTTTTAAATGGAAAAAGAACGGATAATACACAGTAACATGATAACAGATGTGTGTCAATAGCTTCAAAAAGTCTCCCACTTGTTCGCCATCATTGGTCTTCAGAACATATTTATATTCTTGCAAATTCTAAGAAGTGTTAACTTATTTTTGAAGCACCTTGTATTTGGAGTTTGCGGTGTCTCTATCTGTCTCTCCCTGTGGTCGCGCGGATTTTCCTCCGGGTCCACCGGTTTTCCCCTCCGGAGAACCTGGCTGAAGGAGCGGACTGATGATGATGATGACGATGGTAGTGATTGTTGTTGTTGTTATTTACGATCGTGTGTAACCCTCGCCGCCATGTGTTGTTTCAAGGGCTTGTCCGGAAGCAGAGGGGAGGCTGGATTGAAAGGTGATAAGGTGATTTACATGACCATATTCGTGACCGTATCTTAGAGCGGAATCTTAGGGTTAGATCGCGTAAATATAAATGCCCGCACACGGCCAATTCCTAAGGCGGTGCCACGCAAACAAAACGTGACGATGAGTGAACTGCTTCAGCATACCGGTTAGCAAAGCTGTCAACCCCTTATCAGTGGCCCTACCTTATCACAGACCAATTCAGAACTCATTGGCCAACCCGTGCCCCCTTATACATCTCAGCGTTCATCCTACAAAGTCCCAATACAAGTCACAAAGTCCCAATACAAGGGAGAAACACAAACAAATAGGCAAAGATTTGTTGCCCCTTTTGAAACGGCTATACGCCGAATGGACCTGAAAACTCAATTTCCCTACACAAGAATATGGGGTGAAACCGTAACGGGTTGACGCGGTATGCGGTTGCGTGTTGGAGATGTAAACCCACGACGGCATTTACAATTCGAGTAGCCGTGACGTATTGCCGGTGATTACAACAACAGCAACAATAACAGCAACAACAGCAACAACAACAGCAACAACAACTGGCTTCATCAGGCAATTTGCCAGAATTGTGATGACATCCTCCTGCTTTCTGAGTCAGGGTGATGTCATCGCTGCGAGCGTTTAGGTTTACGCGATCTGACCTGTAACAAAAACCTTTATTCTGAATAATATTGATCGTGAAATCCTACGTGTTAAATAATAATAATATCCACGGTAGTGATAGGGGTTGGGGTAGTGATCGGGGTTGGGGTAGTGATAGGGGTTGGGGGTAGTGATGGTGGTAGTGGGTAGTATGGGTTGGGGTAGTGATAGGGGTTGGGGTAGTGATAGGGGTAGTGATGGGGGTTGGGGTAGTGATAGGGGGGGTAGGTGTAGTGATAGGGGTGGGGTGGGTAGTGAGAGGGTTGGGGTAGTGATAGGGGTTGGGGTAGTGATAGGGGTAGGATAGGGGTTGGGGTAGTGATAGGGGGGTGATAGGGGTTGGGGTAGTGATAGGGGTTGGGGTAGTGATAGGGGGTAGTGATAGGGGTTGGGGGTAGTGATAGGGGTTGGGGGTAGTGATAGGGGTAGTGATGGGGTTGGGGTAGTGATAGGGGTTGGGTAGGTAGTGATAGGGGTTGGGGTAGTGATAGGGGTTGGGGGAGGGGTAGGATAGGGGTTGGGGTAGTGATAGGGGTAGTGAGGGGTTGGGGTAGTGATAGGGGTTGGGGTAGTGGGGTAGTGATAGGGGTTGGGGTAGTGATAGGGTAGTGATAGGGGGGGGTGATGGGGTGGGGTAGTGATAGGGGTTGGGGGTTGGGGTAGAGTGATAGGGGTAGTGATAGGGGTTGGGGTAGTGGTAGTGATAGGGGTTGGGGTAGGGGTGTAGTGATAGGGGTAGTGATAGGGGTTGGGGTAGTGATAGGGGTTGGGGTAGTGATAGGGGTAGTGATAGGGGTTGGGGTAGTGATAGGGGTTGGGGTAGTGATAGGGGTAGTGATAGGGGTTGGGGTAGTGATAGGGGTTGGGGTAGTGATAGGGTTGGGGTGTGAGGGGTGGGGGTAGTGATAGGGGTTGGGGTAGTGATGGGTTGGGGTAGTGATAGGGGTTGGGGTAGTGATGGGGTTGGGGTAGTAGTGATAGGGGTTGGGGTAGTGATAGGGGGTAGGGGTAGTGATAGGGGTTGGGGTAGTAGTGATAGGGGTAGTGATAGGGGTTGGGGTAGTATGGGGTGGGGTAGTGATAGGGGGTAGTGATAGGGGTTGGGTAGTGATGGGGGTTGGGGTAGTGATAGGGGTTGGGGTAGTGATAGGGGTAGTGATGGGGGTTGGGGTAGTGATAGGGGTTGGGGTAGTGATGGGGTTGGGGTAGTGATAGGGGTTGGGGTAGTGATAGGGGTTGGGGTAGTGATGGGGGTTGGGGTAGTGATCGGGGTTGAGGTAGTGATCGGGGTTGGGGTAGTGATAGGGGTAGTGATAGGTGTAGCAATAGGGGAAGTGATAGGGGTTGGAATATTGATAGGGGTAGTGATAGGGGTTGGGGTAGTGATAGGGGTTGGGGTAGTGATCGGGGTTGAGGTAGTGATCGGGGTTGGGGTAGTGATAGGGGTAGTGATAGGTGTAGCAATAGGGGAAGTGATAGGGGTTGGAATATTGATAGGGGTAGTGATAGGGGTTGGGGTAGTGATAGGGGTTGGGGTAGTGATAGGGTAGTTATAGGGGTCGTAGTTGCGAGGCTAATCGGAGGTGTGTTACTTTCAAGGGAAGGGCGACGGGGGAAGGAACATGCTACCCTCTGCTGTGTGTGTGTGCACCAATGTCACTTGAATAAGAATAAGGGGATCTCAGAGGTAGCTCTGTCATATCCGCTTCCGCGGACCGTTCGGCGTCCCGCGACGGCGACGTGCCACCCACCAGAGTTTCGCGGTGGCTACGAAGTGGAACGCTGAAATAAACGTCGCGAGATTCATGCCGTGTGAATTCGCAGGGACCGGAAGGCGTCCCCGGTGAAAATGGAAAACCCGGATTCCCAGGGGACAAGGTGAGAGGCCTTGTTCAGGTGGCGATATTTTAAAGATTTTCCGAATTTTGACGATTTTCTTTTTCTTTTTAAACGCGTTCCTGTTTTTCGGATTGATCCAAACGCACGGTAAAGGTCGCAAATGGGTTTTGATTTCTTACCCGTACCTGGCCGCACCAGAGTCGCAAACGGGTAGCTGTACCCGTACCCGGCCGTACCCGTACCCTATCCGTACCCGGCCGGGTACGGGTAAGGTACAGGTATCGGGTACCCGATTGCGACCGGCAGGAGGCAGTGGAGCAAGCAGGTTGCTGCCTTCCCTGCATGGTAGAGGTCGCAAACGGGTTTTGATTCCTTACCCGTACCCGGCCGCACCAGGGTCGCAATCGGGTACCCGATACACGTACCCTACCCGATACCCGGCTACCCGTACCCGGCCGGGTATCGGGTAGGGTACGGGTATCGGGTACCTGATTGCGACCTCTGGGATGAAGCCATGTTGCAGGCGCGGGTGGGTTGATTCTAGGAACTTGAATTGTGAGAAGAGACGACGCCAAAAGGCGTCATCTGGTCCAACGAGCCAGGCAAAAGTATTCTTGGACAGGAAAATGTAGTTTAGTGGTCCATACGGCATACAGCTGTTTCGGCAAAAACCGCCCAGAATGTTAGTCTATTTGTTTGTGTTTTTCCCTTGTGATGGGACTATGTGGGGTGAACGTTTAGATTTATGAGGGTGCGGGGTGACCAATATGGCCTGAATTGGTGTGTGATAAGGTCGGGCACTCATAGAGAGTTGACACGTATGGACTCTAATCGTAGCAATGTAAAATTACTAAAAAATGTAAAAAACATTTTTTACCAGATAAGGCCCCACTGAGCTATTTAAAAAAAATTCAGAAGCGACCCAGCGCTATCGCAAATGATCGCCTCAATTAAGTGGCTCATCATCATCGTCATCATCATCATCGTCATCATCATCATCGTCGTCGTCGTCGTGTGGCAGTGCACAGCGGCCAAAACGCACGATGTCGATTCTAAACGAGGAGGGAAAAAAACGGAGGACCCGGAGAAAAATCCACACGACCACGAAGAGAGAGAGAGACACGCAAACTCCAAATATACAGCAGCAGGCGTCAGGGTCGGGATCGAACCCACGACCTCCTGCACACCAGGCGAGGTAGTCAACATCTCCTAGCCACCGTGATGATGATGAGAGACACAAACACTCCAAATATACAGCAGCAGGTGTCAGGGTAGGGATCGAACCCACGACTTCCCGTACACCAGGCGAGGTAGTTTACATATCCTAGCAACCGTGATGATGATGAGAGAGAGAGACACGCAAACTCCACATGTACAGCAGCAGGTGTCAGGATCGGGGTTGAACCCACGACCTCCCGTATACCAGGCGAGGTAGTTAACATCTCCTAGCCACCGTGGTAAATCCACATGACCACGGTTAGAACATGCAAACACCGTGACGTTACATTGCTGATGGCCGGAATTCCGGTAGAACGAGCAGAGTTACTCGGCTCGGCATCCACCTACGATGCTGTTGAATGCCCTTCAAACATTGAACGAGCAAATTGTTGCAAAGCGGCCGTGTTCACTACCCTGATGGATTCCCTTCCTCTCCCTCCCTCTCTCTGTGTCGCGCTCACAGGGATATCAGGGCATTCCTGGCCTACAAGGACCACGTGGCAACGTTGGGCTCGCTGTGAGTTCTTCCTGCCCACTGACTGATCGAACCGCTACCCACTGCCTGATCACTGAATGATTGCATCGCTGCCCACGCGCTTTACGATTCTCCAGGGACTCAACCCCTGCCTGCCTCTCCCCTCTCATCTCACTCCACTCCCCTCCACGCGCTCTCCTGCCTCTCCCCTCTCATCTCTCTCCACTCCCCTCCACGCGCTCTCCTACCTCTCCCCTCTCATCTCTCTCCACTCCCCTCCACACTCTCTCCTGCCTCTCCCCTCTCATCTCTCTCCCCTCCACACACTCTCCTGCCTGTCTCCTCTCATCTCACTCCACTCCCCTCCACGCACTCTCCTGCCTCTCCCCTCTCATCTCACTCCACTCCCCTCCACGCTCTCTCCTGCCTCTCCCGTCTCATCTCACTCCACTCCCCTCCACGCACTCTCCTGCCTCTCCCCTCTCATCTCTATCCACTCCCCTCCACGCACTCTCCTGCCTCTCCCCTCTCATCTCACTCCACTCCACTCCCCTCCACGCAATCTCCTGCTTCTCCCCTCTCATCTCACTCCACTCCCCTCCACGCCCTCTCCTGGAGTTAGCGTCTCTCTGTATTTCCCCTTGGTCGCGTGGATTTCTGGGCCCTTCGGTTTTTCCCTCCACATTTTTGAATCAAAATGACGCATTTAGACTCAACACTGTCCATAGACTCAACACTACCCATAGACTCAACACTGCCCATAGACTCAACACTACCCATAGACTCACACTGCCCATAGACTCAACACTACCCATAGACTCAACACTGCCCATAGACTCAACACTGCCCATAGACTAACACTGCCCATAGACTCAACACTGCCCATAGACTCAACACTACCCATAGACTCAACACTGCCCATAGACTCAACACTGCCCATATACTCAACACTGCCCATAGACTAACACTGCCCATAGACTCAACACTACCCATAGACTCAACACTAACCCATAGACTCAACACTACCCATAGACTCAAAACTAACCCATAGACTCAACACTGCCCATAGACTCAACACTACCCATAGACTCACACTGCCCATAGACTCAACACTACCCATAGACTCAACACTGCCCATAGACTCAACACTGCCCATAGACTAACACTGCCCATAGACTCAACACTGCCCATAGACTCAACACTACCCATAGACTCAACACTGACCATAGACTCAACACTGCCCATAGACTCAACACTGCCCATAGACTAACACTGCCCATAGACTCAACACTACCCATAGACTCAACACTAACCCATAGACTCAACACTACCCATAGACTCAACACTACCCATAGACTCAACACTAACCCATAGACTCAACACTACCCATAGACTCAACACTACCCATAGACTCAACACTAACCCATAGACTCAACACTGCCCATAGACTCAACACTGCCCATAGGCTCAACACTGCCCATAGACTAACACTGCCCATAGACTCAACACTACCCATAGACTCAACACTAACCCATAGACTCAACACTGCCCATAGACTCAACACTAACCCATAGACTCAACACTACCCATAGACTCAACACCGCCCATAGACTCAACACCGCCCATAGACTCAACACTGCCCATAGACTCAACACCACCCATAAACTCAACACTGCCCATAGACTCAGCACCACCCATAGACTCAACACTGCCCATAGACTCAACATGGCTGTTGCACTGTAGTAATGGTTGTTGTTGTTGTACTGTAGTAATGGTTGTTGTTGTACTGTAGTAATGGTTGTTGTGTGCGTCACTCTTGAATCGCCAGGGCATCGACGGAGACAAAGGCCTCGAGGGCCCAGCAGGACATCAGGGACCCGAGGTAACTGAGCAGGGCGGCAGGAGGCAGTGGAGCAAGCAGGTTGATGCCTTCCCTGCATGGTAGAGGTCGCAAACGGGTTTTGATTCCTTACCCGTACCCGGCCGCACCAGGGTCGCAAACGGGTACCCGTACTCGTACCCGGCCGGGTACAGGTAGCCGGGTATCGGGTAGGGTACGGGTATCGGGTACCCGATTGCGACCTCTGCTGCATGGAGTCTTTAGAGTTGTTATCCCCTCCATGGCGTCAGTCTGCTGTGGGTGGTCGTGTTATGAGCTGGGCGGTGATGGTGGTGGTGGCGGTGATGGTGGTTACGGTGGTGGTAGTGCTGGTGGTGCTGGTGGTAGTGATGGTGGTGTTGGCTACACTGGTGCTGCACATGGCGTGTCTCTGCACTGTGATCCACCACTGTGGAGGCAGCAGCGAGGGGTTAGTGGATCACCGCACAGATTGGGGTTGTCAAACTCCCTCTATGTCCCGTGGGTGGGCGTTGAGGAGCCATGCCCCACCTGTTCCGTCTAAGGGATCGAGCGTTTCTCCCTCGCATGCGTCGGGTTTCTCCCACTCATCGTCTGTGGTTCATTCTCCTGCTGCCTCTGAGTCGTCCCCTCTCTCTCTCTCTCTGAGTCGTTCTCTCTCTCTCTGAGTCGTCCCCTCTCTCTCTGAATCTTCCTCTCTCTCTCTCTGAGTCGTCCTCTTTCTTTGAGTCGTCCTCTATCTGAGTCGTCCTCTCTCTCTGAGTCGTTCTCCCTCTCTCTCTGAGTCGTCCTCTCTCTCTGAGTCGTCCTCTTTCTCTGAGTCGTCCTCTCTCTCTCTGAGTCGTCCTCTTTCTTTGAGTCGTCCTCTCTCTCTGAGTCGTCCTCTCTCTCTGAGTCGTTCTCTCTCTGAGTCGTCCTCTTTCTCTGAGTCGACCTCTCTCTCTGAGTCGTCCTCTCTCTCTGAGTCGTCCTCTTTCTCTGAGTCGACCTCTCTCTCTGAGTCGTCCTCTCTCTCTGAGTCGTCGTCTTTCTCTGAATCGTCCTCTCTCTCTGAGTCGTCCCCTCTCTCTCTCTCTGAGTCGTCCTCTCTCTCTGAGTCGTCATCTCTCTCTCTCTCTCTCTGAGTCGTCCCCTCTCTGAGTCGTCCCCTCTCTCCGAGTCGTCCTCTCTTTCTGAGTCGTCCTCTCTCTCTTTCTCTCTCTCTGAGTCGTCCTCTCTCTCTGAGTCGTCCTCTGAGTCGTCCTCTCTCTCTGAGTCGTCCTCTCTCTCTGAGTCGTCCTCTCTCTCTGAGTCGTCCTCTCTCTCTGAGTCGTCCTCTCTCTCTGAGTCATCCTCTCTCTCTGAGTCGTCCTCTCTCTCTGAATCGTCCTCTCTCTCTGAGTCGTCATCTCTCTCTGAGTCGTCCTCTCTCTCTGAGTCGTCCTCTCTCTCTGAGTCGTTCTCTCTCTCTGAGTCGTCCTCTCTCTCCGAGTCGACCTCTCTCTCTGAGTCATCCTCTATCTGAGTCGTCCTCTCTCTCTGAGTCGTCCTCTCTCTCTCAGTCGTCCTCTTTCTCTGAGTCGACCTCTCTCTCTGAGTCTTCCTCTCTCTCTGAGTCGTCCTCTTTCTCTGAGTCGACCTCTCTCTCTGAGTCGTCCTCTCTCTCTGAGTCGTCGTCTTTCTCTGAATCGTCCTCTCTCTCTGAGTCGTCCTCTCTCTCTCTCTCTCTGAGTCGTCCTCTCTCTCTGAGTCGTCGTCTCTCTCTCTCTCTGAGTCGTCCCCTCTCTCTGAGTCGTCCCCTCTCTCCGAGTCGTCCTCTCTTTCTGAGTCGTCCTCTCTCTGAGTCATCCTCTCTCTCTGAGTCGTCCTCTCTCTCTGAGTCGTCCTCTCTCTCTGAGTCGTCCTCTCTCTCTGAGTCGTCCTCTCTCTCTGAGTCGTCCTCTCTCTCTTTCTCTCTCTCTGAGTCGTCCTCTCTCTCTGAGTCGTCCTCTCTCTCTCGGAGTCGTCCTCTCTCTCTGAGTCGTCCTCTCTCTCTCTGAGTCGTCCTCTCTCTCTCTCTTTCTCTCTCTGAGTCGTCCCCTCTCTCTCCTCTCCCTACGAGAGAGCGTGGAGCAGATACGGTGCGGGTCAGTGCCGGCCGCACCGAGACGCGACGCTCCCCTTCGCCGATCGGACTCGTCGCTTAATCCGTGTGATGCACTCGCAGGGGCGTGCGTTGGGCACGCGTCACGGGGTCCGCCGCGTGGTGCGTCATTGTCCTCCCCTGTGTCCTCCCCTGTGTCCACCCCTGTGTCCACCCCTGTGTCCTCCCCTGTGTCCTCCCCTGTGTCCTCATCAGGGTTTCCCTGGAGACATCGGACTCCCTGGACCCAATGGTCCCGAAGGACCGATGGTGAGAGCTCGTGTTTTTTTCGGTGGTTTTTTTTTCTTTGGGGGGGGGGTCGTTTTTCCTCCGCAATGTCGACTGCCCCCCACCCCGATTTGTTGAGATCGGCATTGCGGCAGGGGTGACCGGAGTGAGCGAGTGAGTGAGCGAGTGAGTGGATGAGTGAGTGAGTGAGCGAGCGATTGAGTAGGTGAATGGGCCGTTGATTAGGTGATTGAGTGGGCGAGTGAGTGAGCGAGTGAGTAAGTGAATGAGCGAGTGAGTGGGCGAGTGCGTGAATGGTTGTTGGAGTGGGCGAGTGAGTGAGTGGTTGGGTGAGCGAACGAGTGGGTGAGTGGGTGAGTGGGTGGTTTATTGAGTGGGTGAGTGAGTGGGTAAGTGAACTGATGTAATCAGTACGTGATCGGAATGGGGAAGGGTTCATTTTGTAGGGGAACTTCTTCATGCAAGCCATGAGTTTGTGTTCCCGCCTGCCAGTACGGTGACAGGGCTATATGGTTAATGTCGTTGTCCTTGTTTTGTATTTTTCAAGGGACTTCCTGGGGCAAGGGGCTTTCAGGGACCGCTCGGAGGTCAGGGTCAAGAGGTCAGTAACTTTGGAAATGCGAGGGTTGGCACGTCACTTAGGGATCTGCGTACTCCCAAACTCGCCGGGATTGGGAGGGGAAGTGGTCAGGCAATAGCAGTACAGCAAGAGTTGTCTTGAAGCCATCCATCTGGAGATGTCAGTGGGTTGTCTCCGAGGTCTCTGGGTCCCCAGTGGCATCTACATCTGTAGAACGTGAAGAACCAGTGGCATCTACATCTGCAGAACGTGAAGAACCAGTGGCATCTACATCTGCAGAACGTGAAGAACCAGTGGCATCTACATCTACAGAACGGGAAGAACCAGTGGCATCTACATCTGCAGAACGTTAAGAACCAGTGGCATCTACATATGCAGAACGTGAGGAACCAGTGGCATCTACAGCTGCAGAACGTGAAGAACCAGTGGTATCTACATCTGCAGAACGTGAAGAACCAGTGGCATCTACATCTACAGAACGGGAAGAACCAGTGGCATCTACATATGCAGAACGTGAGGAACCAGTGGCATCTACATCTACAGAACGTAAAGAACCAGTGGCATCTACATCTGCAAAACGTGAAGAACCAGTGGCATCTACATCTACAGAACGTGAAGAACCAGTGGCATCTACATCTGCAGAACGTGAAGAACCAGTGGCATCTACATCTACAGAACGGGAAGAACCAGTGACATCTACATATGCAGAACGTGAGGAACCAGTGGCATCTACAGCTGCAGAACGTGAAGAACCAGTGGCATCTACATCTGCAGAACGTGAAGAACCAGTGGCATCTACATCTACAGAACGGGAAGAACCAGTGGCATCTACATATGCAGAACATGAGGAACCAGTGGCATCTACATCTACAGAACGTAAAGAACCAGTGGCATCTACATCTGCAGAACGTGACGAACCAGTGACATCTACATCTGCAGAACGTGAAGAACCAGTGGCATCCACATCTGCAGAACATGAAGAACCAGTGGCATCTACATCTGCAGAACGTGAAGAACCAGTGGCATCTACATCTACAGAACGTGAGGAACCAGTGGCATCTACATCTACAGAACGTGATTAACCAGTGGCATCTACATCTACAGAACATGAAGAACCAGTGGCATCTACATCTGCAGAACGTGAAGAACCAGTGGCATCTACATCTACAGAACGTGAAGAACCAGTGGCATCTACATCTGCAGAATGTGAAGAACCAGTGGCATCTACATGTACAGAACATGAAGAACCAGTGGCATCTACAGATGCAGAACGTGAAGAACCAGTGGCATCTATATCTGCAGAACGTGAAGAACCAGTGGCATCTACATCTGCAGAACATGAAGAACCAGTGGCATCTACAGCTGCAGAACGTGAAGAACCAGTGGCATCTACATCTGCAGAACGTGAAGAATCAGTGGCATCTACATCTGCAGAACGTGAAGAACCAGTGGCATCTACATCTGCAGAACGTGAAGAACCACTGGCATCTACATCTACAGAACGTGAAGAACCAGTGGCATCTACATCTACAGAACGTAAAGAACCAGTGGCATCTACATCTGCAGAACGTGACGAACCAGTGACATCTACATCTGCAGAACATGAAGAACCAGTGGCATCTACATCTACAGAACGTGAAGAACCAGTGGCATCTACATCTGCAGAACGTAAAGAACCAGTTGCATCTACATCTACAGAACGTGAAGAACCAGTGGCATCTACATCTGCAGAACGTGAAGAATCAGTGGCATCTACATCTGCAGAACGTGAAGAACCAGTGGCATCTACATCTGCATAACGTGAAGAACCAGTGACATCTACATCTGCAGAACGTGAAGAACCAGTGGCATCCACATCTGCAGAACATGAAGAACCAGTGGCATCTACATCTGCAGAACGTGAAGAACCAGTGTATAATCACGAGATGATACAACTGTTAAAGCCATGCCCCGTATTATGTCTACACGCCGTACAAAGCGTTTGGAATTGCCAGTAGTAAAGTTGGGATTTGCGAACGAATCGTCTTTACGAACAGACAGACCTCTGGAACCTAACCCGTTCGTAAGTAGAGGAGTGCCTGTGTATACACACACACACGTACATCACCGTGGCTCTCTTCCCTGCGTTGCGTACGTCTCGCCTAGGGTGACCAAGGACCCACGGGGCCACCTGGCAAGGCCGGCTTGACGGTAACGACACACTTCACGCAACGTTGACCCCTGCCGACACGACAACGTTGGTGACGTTTTTGTTGTCGCGCGTTTTGGCGTCATCTGGTCCAACCCACGTGAGACTAGGCTCTAAGGAAAGCTGTCTCGGGTGTGGACCAATCAACTTCAAGGACAGTGCATACATTATCAGAGTTGTGTTTTTTGTTTGCATTATGACTGCAGGTATTGTGGTCTATGCAAACATGACTCCTCGTAAAAAAAGGTGTCAGTTTTGTTGCCAGATAGAAGGGTAAAAACAATAATCACGTTTTTGTTGTTGTTGTTGTTGATGTTGTTGTTCAATTCGTACGGACGCATCTTGCGGCTAACGGTACCGCTCCGTTCCCGCGTGAGGGTTGGACGGGGCGAGGGGGCGATCGTTTATTTTCGTGAAATGTTTCGCGATGAACGTAACGGTAAGAACATCAAAAAATGGTTTCCCCGTCATTAAGTTGCCCCCCGCCACCCGACGCCGGATCACGTGGCGTGGCCTGTGCAAGGGTTGATGGATCACCACACAGATGTTGTTGTTGTTGCTGTTGTTGTTGCTGTTGTTGCGAAACTCCCTTCTGACCCGTGGGTCGGTGTGGAGTAGGAGCCGTGACCCTGGCTATGCCAGCAGAAGGCGATTCTCAGCAAAGTGTGGATTACTCATACTCTTAGTTCTTTCGGTAAAGTCACGTAGGTAAAAAATGAAATTAAAATTTATAAAAATAAAATAATAAAATCACGACGTTTCGGAGGCAACACAAGTCTCCGTCATCAGGTGGGACCGTCACAGCCAGATTTGTTGCATCAAGTGTTGCCTCCGAAACGTCGTGATTTTATCATTTTATTTTTATTAATTTTTATTTCATTTTTTACCTACGTGACTTTACCGAAAGAACTAAGAGTATAAATCCTTGCAGTCACAAAAGCTTCAAATGTGGATTACTCCCCATCTGTTCCATCGGTTCAGATGTTCGCCTCTGCTATTGGTCGTGAGCGGGAATCGAACCCGGGCCGCCGGTTTCGTCGCGCTGCGCACTAACCGCTGCACCGCCGCTCCCCACGCTCCACGCACACACAAAGATCCCCCGTGTAGCCTGACCAGACTGTTGGGGCAAGTGCTGTTAGCGAGAGCCTATGAAGGCCGGCACGGCACACGAGGTGGTGGGTGGCCAGCACCACGCCCGGCCGCCTTTGTTTCCCCGGTAGCGATGTTTACTACACACCCCACCGGGTACATCAGTCGATCTAGGAAAGGAGGCCCAGGACCGGTTCAGATAATCGTCACCGGTGTTGACCTTGAACGTTGAACGGGAATGGAACCCGGGTCGCCGGGTTTGTAGCGCAGCGTAGCGCTGACCGCTACACTACCGCCCCCTTACAAGCACGCACACAGACACATCGACACACACGCACACAGACACATCGACACACACGCACACAGACACATCGACACACACGCACACAGACACATCGACACACACGCACACAGACACATCGACACACACGCACACAGACACATCGACACACACGCACACAGACACATCGACACACACGCACACATCGACACACACGCACACACGCGCGCGCACATCAGCGCAGACCCAATTAAAGTGATATTGGCACAATAATGACAACTTAAAAAGTACAAAAAAGTTTAACGGGAATGGATCCCGGGTCGCCGGGTTTAAAAGCGCAGCATAGCGCGAACCGCTACACCACCGCTCCCCACGACGACACACGGACACACACACAGGCACACGGGTACGGGTAGACCGTGAGTCACTGGTGAGTAACCGTTTGTCACTCATTTCGGGTAGGGTACCAGTACGGGTAGGGAACGGCTACCCATACCCGGCCGGGTACGGGTACGGGTACCCATTTGCGACCCTGGTGCGGCCGAGTACGGGTACGGGTAAGGAATCAAAACCCGTTTGCGACCTCTGGTCTGGCCCCGGGTTCCAATGAGCGCTCCTCTGCTGTTCCGCAGGGCCTCCGCGGGAGAAAGGGAATGTCTGGCGCGAGCGGACTGCACGGACCAAAGGTAATTCGTCTTATTGCGAATTGCCTGCTGCTGATAGTATTCAGTCAGTGCTGAGTCTATGGGCAGTGTTGAGTCTATGGGCAGTGTTGAGTCTATGGGCAGTGTTGAGTCTATGGGTAGTGTTGAGTCTATGGGTAGTGTTGAGTCTATGGGCAGTGTTGAGTCTATGGGCAGTGTTGAGTCTGTGGGCAGTGTTGAGTCTATGGGCAGTGTTGAGTCTGTGGGCAGTGTTGAGTCTATGGGCAGTGTTGAGTCTATGGGCAGTGTTGAGTCTGTGGGCAGTGTTGAGTCTATGGGCAGTGTTGAGTCTATGGGTAGTGTTGAGTCTATGGGTAGTGTTGAGTCTGTGGGCAGTGTTGAGTCTGTGGGCTGTGTTGAGTCTATGGGCAGTGTTGAGTCTGTGAGCTGTGTTGAGTCTATGGGCAGTGTTGAGTCTATGGGTAGTGTTGAGTCTGTGGGTAGTGTTGAGTCTGTGAGCTGTGTTGAGTCTATGGGCAGTGTTGAGTCTATGGGCAGTGTTGAGTCTGTGGGCAGTGTTGAGTCTATGGGCAGTGTTGAGTCTATGGGTAGTGTTGAGTCTGTGGGTAGTGTTGAGTCTGTGAGCTGTGTTGAGTCTATGGGCAGTGTTGAGTCTATGGGCAGTGTTGAGTCTGTGGGCAGTGTTGAGTCTACGGGTAGTGTTGAGTCTATGGGTAGTGTTGAGTCTATGGGCAGTGTTGAGTCTATGGGCAGTGTTGAGTCTATGGGTAGTGTTGAGTCTATGGGCAGTGTTGAGTCTATGGGCAGTGTTGAGTCTATGGGCAGTGTTGAGTCTGTGGGTAGTGTTGAGTCTATGGGCAGTGTTGAGTCTATGGGCAGTGTTGAGTCTGTGGGCTGTGTTGAGTCTGTGGGCAGTGTTGAGTCTATGGGTAGTGTTGAGTCTGTGGGCAGTGTTGAGTCTATGGGCAGTGTTGAGTCTATGGGCAGTGTTGAGTCTGTGGGTAGTGTTGAGTCTGTGGGCAGTGTTGAGTCTATGGGTAGTGTTGAGTCTGTGGGCAGTGTTGAGTCTATGGGTAGTGTTGAGTCTGTGGGCAGTGTTGAGTCTATGGGTAGTGTTGAGTCTATGGGCAGTGTTGAGTCTATGGGCAGTGTTGAGTCTATGGGCAGTGTTGAGTCTATGGGCAGTGTTGAGTCTATGGGCAGTGTTGAGTCTATGGGCAGTGTTGAGTCTATGGGCAGTGTTGAGTCTATGGGCAGTGTTGAGTCTGTGGGCAGTGTTGAGTCTATGGGCAGTGTTGAGTCTATGGGTAGTGTTGAATCTATGGGCAGTGTTGAGTCTATGGGCAGTGTTGAGTCTATGGGTAGTGTTGAGTCTATGGGTAGTGTTGAGTCTATGGGCAGTTTTGAGTCTATGGGCAGTGTTGAGTCTATGGATAGTGTTGAGTCTATGGGCAGTGTTGAGTCTATGGGCAGTGTTGAGTCTATGGGCAGTGTTGAGTCTATGGGAAGTGTTGAGTCTGTGGGCAGTGTTGAGTCTGTGGGCTGTGTTGAGTCTATGGGCAGTGTTGAGTCTGTGAGCTGTGTTGAGTCTATGGGCAGTGTTGAGTCTATGGGTAGTGTTGAGTCTGTGGGTAGTGTTGAGTCTGTGAGCTGTGTTGAGTCTATGGGCAGTGTTGAGTCTATGGGCAGTGTTGAGTCTGTGGGCAGTGTTGAGTCTACGGGTAGTGTTGAGTCTATGGGCAGTGTTGAGTCTATGGGCAGTGTTGAGTCTATGGGCAGTGTTGAGTCTATGGGCAGTGTTGAGTCTGTGGGCTGTGTTGAGTCTATGGGCAGTGTTGAGTCTGTGGGTAGTGTTGAGTCTATGGGCAGTGTTGAGTCTATGGGCAGTGTTGAGTCTATGGGCAGTGTTGAGTCTGTGGGCAGTGTTGAGTCTATGGGCAGTGTTGAGTCTATGGGTATTGTTGAGTCTATGGGCAGTGTTGAGTCTATGGGTAGTGTTGAGTCTATGGACAATGTTGAGTCTATGGGCAATGTTGAGTCTATGGGCAGTGTTGAGTCTATGGGCAGTGTTGAGTCTATGGGTAGTGTTGAGTCTGTGGGCTGTGTTGAGTCTGTGGGCAGTGTTGAGTCTATGGGTAGTGTTGAGTCTGTGGGCAGTGTTGAGTCTATGGGCAGTGTTGAGTCTATGGGCTGTGTTGAGTCTGTGGGCAGTGTTGAGTCTATGGGCAGTGTTGAGTCTATGGGCTGTGTTGAGTCTATGCGCAGTGTTGAGTCTATGGGCAGTGTTGAGTCTGTGGGCTGTGTTGAGTCTGTGGGCAGTGTTGAGTCTATGGGTAGTGTTGAGTCTGTGGGCAGTGTTGAGTCTATGGGCAGTGTTGAGTCTATGGGTAGTGTTGAGTCTATGGGCAGTGTTGAGTCTATGGGCAGTGTTGAGTCTATGGGCAGTGTTGAGTCTGTGGGTAGTGTTGAGTCTGTGGGCAGTGTTGAGTCTATGGGTAGTGTTGAGTCTGTGGGCAGTGTTGAGTCTGTGGGCAGTGTTGAGTCTATGGGCAGTGTTGAGTCTATGGGTAGTGTTGAGTCTATGGGAAGTGTTGAGTCTGTGGGCAGTGTTGAGTCTGTGGGCTGTGTTGAGTCTATGGGCAGTGTTGAGTCTGTGAGCTGTGTTGAGTCTATGGGCAGTGTTGAGTCTATGGGTAGTGTTGAGTCTGTGGGTAGTGTTGAGTCTGTGAGCTGTGTTGAGTCTTTGGGCAGTGTTGAGTCTATGGGCAGTGTTGAGTCTGTGGGCAGTGTTGAGTCTATGGGCAGTGTTGAGTCTATGGGCAGTGTTGAGTCTATGGGCAGTGTTGAGTCTGTGGGCTGTGTTGAGTCGATGGGCAGTGTTGAGTCTGTGGGTAGTGTTGAGTCTATGGGCAGTGTTGAGTCTATGGGCAGTGTTGAGTCTATGGGCAGTGTTGAGTCTATGGGTAGTGTTGAGTCTATGGGCTGTGTTGAGTCTATGGGCAGTGTTGAGTCTATGGGCAGTGTTGAGTCTATGGGCAGTGTTGAGTCTATGGGTAGTGTTGAGTCTGTGGGCAGTGTTGAGTCTATGGTGCAGTGTCGAGTCTATGGCAGTGTTGAGTCTATGGGCAGTGTTGAGTCTATGGGTAGTGTTGAGTCTGTGGGTAGTGTTGAGTCTGTGGGCAGTGTTGAGTCTGTGGGCAGTGTTGAGTCTATGGGTAGTGTTGAGTCTATGGGCTGTGTTGAGTCTATGGGCAGTGTTGAGTCTATGGGCAGTGTTGAGTCTATGGGCAGTGTTGAGTCTATGGGCAGTGTTGAGTCTGTGGGCAGTGTTGAGTCTGTGGGCAGTGTTGAGTCTGTGGGCAGTGTTGAGTCTATGGTGCAGTGTTGAGTCTATGGGCGGTGTTGAGTCTATGGTGCAGTGTTGAGTCTATGGTGCAGTGTTGAGTCTATGGGCAGTGTTGAGTCTATGGGCAGTGTTGAGTCTATGGGTAGTGTTGAGTCTGTGGGTAGTGTTGAGTCTGTGGGCAGTGTTGAGTCTGTGGGCAGTGTTGAGTCTATGGTGCAGTGTTGAGTCTATGGCAGTGTCGAGTCTATGGGCAGTGTTGAGTCTATGGGTAGTGTTGAGTCTGTGGGCAGTGTTGAGTCTATGGGCAGTGTTGAGTCTATGGGCAGTGTTGAGTCTGTGGGCAGTGTTGAGTCTATGGGCAGTGTTGAGTCTATGGGCAGTGTTGAGTCTATGGGCAGTGTTGAGTCTATGGGCAGTGTTGAGTCTATGGGCAGTGTTGAGTCTATGGGCAGTGTTGAGTCTATGGGCAGTGTTGAGTCTATGGGCAGTGTTGAGTCTATGGGCAGTGTTGAGTCTATGGCAGTGTTGAGTCTATGGGCAGTGTTGAGTCTATGGGCAGTGTTGAGTCTATGGGCAGTGTGCATGTTGAACTTCTTTTGCACCATATGTAGCCAGCCATCCCAATCGGATGTGCGGTTGATAGCATGGCAAAGTGCTGTGGTGCCTTCACAATCCACCTAGTGGCGAATGGCTGCTGTTGTTGTTTTCCCTGCTGTTGTTTGTTGTTGTTGACGGTTGTTGACAGGGGGAGCAGGGTGACACAGGGTTGGTGGGATCCGGTGGAGACCCGGTGAGTACACGCGTGCGGCAACTAACTCACCCGTCTCACCGCTCACGTGTGCTTCCGCCGGGTTAAACTAGACTACAGGGGCGGTTTCTTCATTAGGGCGATTGGGCGACGCACCACCAAAGTGTGAAAGGGACTTTTTCAATTACATTCAAAATCTCATTCAACCAGAGTCACGCTAGCCGTTACTGTGCCTCTGGATATAGTCCAATCAGCGTCATGTCACGTTCTGTGGAGTACCGCCTCTTTTTGGGCGATTTCACTCTGGCTGAGAATCGCCCCGAGTGGCCCCATAGACTTACATTCAAAGATGTTTTTTTTCGAACGGCGGGCGCTCCAATGCATTCTCTACGGCTTCCGGGAGGGCTCGCCCTAACGTGCTTACGTCATCATACGTAAGCACGCTTCAGTCAGCAATATTATTTGTCGCCACCTAGTATAATCTTTAATAAAAGAAACTGAGTGGATTGTAATAATAGTGAGTATAGAAACAAACAAGGAGATGTATTGTAAGAGTCACTTTATTTTTCATTAATATTAAAGAAGTGAAGTTGCCTTTACATGCTTAAGCTGTTAATTTATCCATTGCATGGGTGGACCTTATCCTTATCAATCATCCAGACATTTGCCCCCCCTGAGAGATTTTGCAGGAGCCGCCACTGCTAGACTACGAAACTAAACTCATTACAGGCAGTCCCCGACTTACGATGGAGATGCGTTACGACGACCCCATCGTAAGTCGAAAATATCGTAAGTCGAAGATGGCCTATAGCCTACCCAGGAGGCTTAAAGAATGGTGATAATTTAGCAAAACAGAGAAATGTATAGTACCGTACTGTATAAACTATATACTGTATGTATTTATTAATTACAATACTGTATTGCACAGTAAAAGGTAAGTGAAAAAAACAAGGTAAATTCTTAGCCTACCTATATGAACTTCAAATTAATAGAAAGTTTCTTCAGGAAACAATCCTATCTGCTATAAAAACTTTTAACGTGCGTTGAACGTATCGAATCGTGGTAACCTTAAAATCAAATCGCTAAATCTACGTATCACACCATGCATTCATTGAACGTATCGTAACGTATCACATTGTACTGTACTCACCAAGATTCTGACCGTCGTCTGCACACTTGAACGATGTTAAGTTGTTGATGGAAATTTTGTCGTATCGCTATCGTAAGATCGAAATATCGTAAGTCGGACCCCATCGTAACTCGGGGTCTGTCACCGTAACTCGGGGACTATCCACGTAACTCGGGGACCACCACCGTAACTCGGGAACTAATGTTGTAACTCGGGGACTATCAACGTAACTCGGGGACTACCACCGTAACTCGGGGACTGTCATCTTAACTCGGGGAATATCACCGTAACTCGGGGACTACCACCGTAACTCGGGGACTGCCATTGTAACTCGGGGACTATCATTGTAACTCGGGGACTACCTGTAGTTTTTATTTTTGACCATCTAAGCTCTTTTTCAGAAGCGACCTGGCCTTCGCCAGTGATAGCTTCAGCGAAGTGGCTTATCGTCGTCATCATCACGTGGACATTTCTAGCAGCGGCCAAATCCTCTAAACGCGTTGTGACCGTTGATTCTAAACGTGTAAGGAATGAAACGGAGGACCCGGAGAAAAATCCACGCGACCACGGGGAGAGAGAGAGACTCCGCAAACTTCAAAGGTTTCAGGGTCAGGATCGAACCCACAACCTCCTGTATGCCAGGCGAGGGAGTTAACATCTTGCAACCGATGGTTGTTGTTGTTCGGCGTGAAGTCCGACGTTTCGCTCTGCCTGCCAGGAGCAGCAGCTTCTTCTTGCCAAATGAATTTGAAAATGAACGTTAGAACTGACGATACCCCAGTACATCTGAGTGCTTCGTAGAGTGTTTTTAGATATGGTTGATGGTGATGATGATGATGATGATTGATGATTATGTTGACAGTGATCATGATGGTGGTGGGGGTGATGATGATGATGTTGTTGAAAAATATATGATGATGATGATGATGAGAGATATGATGATGATGATGATGAGAGTGATGATGATGGTGAGAGATATATGATGATGATGATTATTGATGATAGATATGATGATGATGAGAGTATTGAGAAATGTATGATGATTGATGATTAGTGATAACGATGATTGATGATGGTCAAGATCTTGTTGGCGAAGATTGCATCAATTGTGATTGTGATGTCGATTGGAAGAGAAGATTGTCGATTATTATCATGATCTCGACTTAAAGCGTTCGTGACTGCAGGAATTCATATTCTTTGGGTCTTTCGGTAAAGTCACGTAGATAGGTTCAAAGAAAAAAACGTCGTAGTTTTATGTTATTCTTGTTATTTTATTTGAACCTATCTCCGTAACTTTCCCGAAAGACCCAAAGAATGTGATAATGATGATTCTGATAACCACCCTAAATGTTGAACTCCGTTTCTTTGCAGGGCCCATTGGGAAATCTTGGACGCATGGGGAGAATGGGTCAAGTTGGACAGAAGGTCTGTTGTTGTTATTGTTGTTGTTTTATTATTATCGCAGTAAAACCTCATTATGTGATAAGCCGTAATTGGGGATGATTCGGCACGGCTCCCCTTCCAGGCACACATGCATGGTGTCTTAGTGTAATAAACCTTCTTGAGACGGCTTCCGGAATCAGTCCTTTTTATTTTCAACTTCCACAGTTACACTTCACACACACTCCCCGTTGCTGACAGACAACGGAGAGCGGGCAGACTTCCCGCCAAGTCCCCACCGCGCACGTGGCACCAGAGGTGGGACAAAGTCATTGTTATGCAAGTCCAAGTCGAGTCTGAAGTCATCAAATTCATGACTCGAGTCTGACTCGAGTCCAAGTCACATGACTCGAGTCCACACCTCAGAGGTGGGACAAAGTCATTGTTATGCAAGTCCAAGTCGAGTCTGAAGTCATCAAATTCATGACTCGAGTCTGACTCGAGTCCAAGTCACATGACTCGAGTCCACACCTCAGAGGTGGGACAAAGTCATTGTTATGCAAGTCCAAGTCGAGTCTGAAGTCATCAAATTCATGACTCGAGTCTGACTCGAGTCCAAGTCACATGACTCGAGTCCACACCTCAGAGGTGGGACAAAGTCATTGTTATGCAAGTCCAAGTCGAGTCTGAAGTCATCAAATTCATGACTCGAGTCTGACTCGAGTCCAAGTCACATGACTCGAGTCCACACCTCAGAGGTGGGACAAAGTCATTGTTATGCAAGTCCAAGTCGAGTCTGAAGTCATCAAATTCATGACTCGAGTCTGACTCGAGTCCAAGTCACATGACTCGAGTCCACACCAGCTGAGAGGTGGGACAAAGTCATTGTTATGCAAGTCCAAGTCGAGTCTGAAGTCATCAAATTCATGACTCGAGTCTGACTCGAGTCCAAGTCACATGACTCGAGTCCACACCTCAGAGGTGGGACAAAGTCATTGTTATGCAAGTCCAAGTCGAGTCTGAAGTCATCAAATTCATGACTCGAGTCTGACTCGAGTCCAAGTCACATGACTCGAGTCCACACCTCAGAGGTGGGACAAAGTCATTGTTATGCAAGTCCAAGTCGAGTCTGAAGTCATCAAATTCATGACTCGAGTCTGACTCGAGTCCAAGTCACATGACTCGAGTCCACACCTCAGAGGTGGGACAAAGTCATTGTTATGCAAGTCCAAGTCGAGTCTGAAGTCATCAAATTCATGACTCGAGTCTGACTCGAGTCCAAGTCACATGACTCGAGTCCACACCTCAGAGGTGGGACAAAGTCATTGTTATGCAAGTCCAAGTCGAGTCTGAAGTCATCAAATTCATGACTCGAGTCTGACTCGAGTCCAAGTCACATGACTCGAGTCCACACCTCAGAGGTGGGACAAAGTCATTGTTATGCAAGTCCAAGTCGAGTCTGAAGTCATCAAATTCATGACTCGAGTCTGACTCGAGTCCAAGTCACATGACTCGAGTCCACACCTCAGAGGTGGGACAAAGTCATTGTTATGCAAGTCCAAGTCGAGTCTGAAGTCATCAAATTCATGACTCGAGTCTGACTCGAGTCCAAGTCACATGACTCGAGTCCACACCGCGCACGTGGCACCCAGAGCCCCCGTACGCGCGTGACTCCTGCTCTTATTACATTAAGACACCATCCCTTCGTCACGTGGTACCCCCCAGCCAATCCTCCATAGACAGCGTTGACCGTTCTCGATGGTTCCCTGTCACTCCCGGGACCACGCCTCTGATCCGGCTCCCCATTAGCTGAGGCCCCGATTGGCCAGGCCAATCACCCCTGCTAACATGCCGCGATCACGCCGAGGCCATGCTCCCTGGCTCAACCCTTATTGGCTACAAAGCAGGACCGGCCAGCCGATCCCCACGTGAACCCTCTATGGCTGTTATTACATCAGGATCGATGTAAAGCTTTCGTGACTGCAGGGATTCATCTTCTTGGTTCTTTCGCTAAAGTCACGTAGAAGGGAAATAATAAAATAATATAAAATAAAACGTAATAAAATTATATAATAATATAATAAAATAAGCTAATATGATATAATAAAATAATAAAATAAAATTACCTAATAATATTATATACTAAAATAGTAAAATTATATAATAATAATAATAGAACAGGCCTGTCGGTAAGACCGCGTTATTATTATTTTTTAGCGTCATTCAGACGCTATCTCCCCGACAGACCTGTTTTTCACCTGAGGACGGCTGCTTGCGGTGTGGCCGAAACGTCGTGAGAATTGTATTTTATTATGTATTATTTTTATTATTTTATTATTTCCCTTCTACGTGACTTTACCGAAAGAACCAAGAAGATGAATCCCTGCAGTCACGAAAAAGCTTTAAATCGAAATTTAAAATAAATAATAATAGAAATAAAATTATACATCACGACGTTTCGGAGGCAACACAAGTCTCCGTCATCACGGCAAAACTGAGTGTTTCAGACGGCAAAAATTAAGTCTTCCGCCGTTGCCGATCATTGCTAAAACGCCGTGGGCTCTCATGGTATTGTCTTTTAGAACTCGTTGTTGTCTTTGTTGTTGGTAGGGAGCCCGAGGGCTCACGGGGTCGCCAGGTCCACCTGGAGAGAAGGGAGTTCCGGTGAGTCGGAGGGAAGTGGCTCAATGGGGAACGGAGCCCTTGGCAGAGCCACTCAATGCTCCACTCTCCTCCACGCACTCTCCTGCCTCTCCCCTCTCATCTCACTCTACTCCCCTCCACGCACTCTCCTACCTCTCCCCTCTCATCTCACTCCACTCCCCTCCACGCACTCTCCTGCCTCTCCCCTCTCATCTCACTCCACTCCCCTCCACGCTCTCTCCTGCCTCTCCCTTCTCATCTCACTCCACTCCCCTCCACGCACTCTCCTGCCTCTCCCCTCTCATCTCACTCCACTTCCCTCCACGCTCTCTCCTGCCTCTCACCTCTCATCTCACTCCACTCCCCTCCACGCACTCTCCTGCCTCTCCCCTCTCATCTCACTCCACTCCCCTCCACGCACTCTCCTGCCTCTCCCCTCTCATCTCACTCCACTCCACTCCACGCTCTCTCCTGCCTCTCACCTCTCATCTCACTCCACTCCCCTCCACGCACTCTCCTGCCTCTCCCCTCTCATCTCACTCCACTCCCCTCCACGCACTCTCCTGCCTCTCACCTCTCATCTCACTCCACTCCCCTCCACGCACTCTCCTGCCTCTCCCCTCTCATCTCACTCCACTCCCCTCCACGCTCTCTCCTGCCTCTCCCCTCTCATCTCACTCCACTCCCCTCCACGCACTCTCCTGCCTCTCACCTCTCATCTCACTCCACTCCCCTCCACGAACTCTCCTACCTCTCCCCTCTCATCTCACTCCACTCCCCTCCACGCTCTCTCCTGCCTCTCACCTCTCATCTCACTCCACTCCCCTCCACGCTCTCTCCTGCCTCTCACCTCTCATCTCACTCCACTCCCCTCCACGCACTCTCCTGCCTCTCCCCTCTCATGTCACTCCACTCCCCTCCACGCACTCTCCTGCCTCTCACCCTCTCATCTCACTCCACTCCCCTCCACGCACTCTCCTACCTCTCCCCTCTCATCTCACTCCACTCCCCTCCACGCACTCTCCTGCCTCTCCCCTCTCATGTCACTCCACTCCCCTCCACGCACTCTCCTGCCTCTCACCTCTCATCTCACTCCACTCCCCTCCACGCACTCTCCTGCCTCTCCCCTCTCATCTCACTCCACTCCCCTCCACGCACTCTCCTACCTCTCCCCTCTCATCTCACTCTACTCCCCTCCACGCACTCTCCTACCTCTCCCTTCTCATCTCAATCCACTCCCCTCCACGCACTCTCCTGCCCCTCCCCTCTCATCTCACTCTACTCCCCTCCACGCACTCTCCTACCTCTCCCTTCTCATCTCACTCCACTCCCCTCCACGCACTCTGCTACCTCTCCCCTCTTATCTCACTTCACTCCCCTCCACGCACTCTCCTGCCTCTCCCCTCTCATCTCACTCCACTCCCCTCCACGCTCTCTCCTGCCTTTCCCCTCTCATCTCACTCCACTCCCCTCCACACTCTCTCCTGCCTCTTTCCTCTCATCTCACTCCACTCCCCTCCACGCACTCTCCTGCCTTTCCCCTCTCATCTCACTCCACTCCCCTCCACGCTCTCTCCTGCCTCTTTCCTCTCATCTCACTCCACTCCCCTCCACGCACTCTCCTGCCTCTCACCTCTCATCTCACTCCACTCCCCTCCACGCACTCTCCTGCCTCTCCCCTCTCATCTCACTCCACTCCTCTCCACGCACTCTCCTGCCTCTCACCTCTCATCTCACTCCACTCCCCTCCACGCACTCTCCTGCCTCTCCCCTCTCATCTCACTCCACTCCCCTCCACGCACTCTCCTGCCTCTCCCCTCTCATCTCACTCTACTCCCCTCCACGCACTCTCCTACCTCTCCCTTCTCATCTCACTCCACTCCCCTCCACGCACTCTGCTACCTCTCCCCTCTTATCTCACTCCACTCCCCTCCACGCACTCTCCTGCCTATCCCCTCTCATCTCACTCCACTCCCCTTCACGCTCTCTCCTGCCTCTCCCTTCTCATCTCACTCCACTCCCCTCCACGCTCTCTCCTGCCTCTTTCCTCTCATCTCACTCCACTCCCCTCCACGCACTCTCCTGCCTCTCCCCTCTCATCTCACTCCACTCCCCTCCACGCTCTCTCCTGCCTCTCCCTTCTCATCTCACTCTATTCCCCTCCACGCTCTCTCCTGCCTCTCCCTTCTCATCTCACTCTACTCCCCACTTCCTCCCCCCTACATGCTGTCTCCTCTACAGCAAACGATGCCCTCTGCGCCGATGTCTCCTCCCTTGAATTCACGACCTCTTTCTGCTTCCTTCAGGGTCACTTTGGACCAATCGGCGATCCGGGATCTCTGGGACGTCAAGGAATTCCCGTGAGTTGAGGAGGCCGGGTGGTGGCGGGTCAGAGGTCGGAGGTCAGAGACGCTGAGACCGCCACCACTGAGAGGCTGGGTTACAATCCGGGGTCAGCCGCCCCAATCACAGCGATTAGACCGGAGTGAGATGAGAGGGGAGAGGCAGCAGAGAGCGTGGAGGGGAGTGGAGTGAGATGAGAGGGGAGAGGCAGGAGAGTGCGTGGAGGGGAGTGGAGTGAGATGAGAAGGGAGAGGCAGGAGAGTGCGTGGAGGGGAGTGGAGTGAGATGAGAAGGGAGAGGCAGGAGAGTGCGTGGAGGGGAGTGGAGTGAGATGAGAGGGGAGAGGTAGGAGAGTGCGTGGAGGGGAGTAGAGTGAGATGAGAGGGGAGAGGCAGGAGAGTGCGTGGAGGGGAGTGGGGTGAGATGAGAGGGGAGAGGCAGGAGAAAGCGTGGAGGAGAGTAGAGTGAGATGAGAGGGGAGAGGCAGGAGAGTGCGTGGAGGGGAGTGGAGTGAGATGAGAGGGGAGAGGCAGGAGAGTGCGTGGAGGGGAGTGGGGTGAGATGAGAGGGGAGAAGCAGGAGAGTGCGTGGAGGGGAGTGGAGTGAGATGAGAGGCAGGAGAGTGCGTGGAGGGGAGTAGAGTGAGATGAGAGGGGAGAGGCAGGAGAGTGCGTGGAGGGGAGTGGAGTGAGATCAGAGGGGAGAGGTAGGAGAGTGCGTGGAGGGGAGTGGAGTGAGATGAGAGGGGAGAGGCAGGAGAGAGCGTGGAGGGGAGTGGAGTGAGATGAGAGGGGAGAGGCAGGAGAGTGCGTGGAGGGGAGTGGAGTGAGATGAGAGGTGAGAGGCAGGAGAGAGCGTGGAGGGGAGTGGAGTGAGATGAGAAGGGAGAGGCAGGAGAGTGCGTGGAGGGGAGTGGAGTGAGATGAGAGGGGAGAGGCAGCAGAGAGCGTGGAGGGGAGTGGAGTGAGATGAGAAGGGAGAGGCAAGAGAGTGCGGGGAGGGGAGTGGAGTGAGATGAGAAGGGAGAGGCAGGAGAGTGCGGGGAGGGGAGTGGAGTGAGATGAGAGGGGAGAGGCAGGAGAGTGCGTGGAGGGGAGTAGAGTGAGATGAGAGGGGAGAGGTAGGAGAGTGCGTGGAGGGGAGTGGAGTGAGATGAGAAGGGAGAGGTAGGAGAGTGCGTGGAGGGGAGTGGAGTGAGATGAGAAGGGAGAGGTAGGAGAGTGCGTGGAGGGAAGTGGAGTGAGATGAGAAGGGAGAGGTAGGAGAGTGCGTGGAGGGGAGTGGAGTGAGATGAGGGCGAAGAGGGAACGAGAAAAATAAGTGTGGTGAGTTGGTGGGTGACTGAGTGGGGAGGTGGGTGAATGGGTGACTGAGTGAGTGGGTGAGTGAGTGACTGACGATGTGAATGAGTGGGTGGGTGAGTGTGTGACTGACTGTGAGTGAGTGGGTGAGTGAGTGAGTGTGTGACTGTGTGAGTGAGTGGGAGAATGAGTAAGTGTGTGACTGACTGTGTGAGTGAGTGGGTGAGTGAGTGAGGGACTGACTGTGTGAGTGAGTGAGTGGGTGAGTGAGTGGGTGAGTGACTGTGTGAGTGGGTGGGTGAGTGTGTGACTGACTGTGTGAGTGAGTGGGTGAGTGTGTGACTGACTGTGTGAGTGAGTGGGTGATGTGAGTGAGTGAGTGTGTGACTGTGTGAGTGAGTGGGTGAGTGAGTGTGTGACTGACTCTGTGTGTGACGAACTGTGTGACTGTGTGTGTGACTGACTGTGTGAGTGAGTGTGTGACTGACTGTGAATGAGTAGGTGAGTGAGTGAGTGTGTGACTGACAGTGTGAGTGAGTGTGTGACTGACTGTGTGAGTGGGTGGGTGAGTGTGTGACTGACTGTGTGAGTGGGTGGGTGAGTGTGTGACTGACTGCTTGAGTGAGTGGGTAAGTAGGTGAGTGAGTTAGTGGGTGAGTGTGTGACTGACTGTGTGAGTGAGTAGGTGAGTGAGTGAGTGAGTGTGTGACTGACTGCTTGAGTGAGTGGGTAAGTAGGTGAGTGAGTTAGTGGGTGAGTGTGTGACTGACTGTGTGAGTGAGTAGGTGAGTGAGTGAGTGTGTGACTGACTGCTTGAGTGAGTGGGTAAGTAGGTGAGTGAGTTAGTGGGTGAGTGTGTGACTGACTGTGTGAGTGAGTAGGTGAGTGAGTGAGTGTGTGACTGACTGCGTGAGTGAGTGGGTGAGTAGGTGAGTGAGTTAGTGGGTGAGTGAGTGAGTGAGTGGATGACTGAGTGACTGAACCGCTGCGTGTTGGATCACGCCCTCGGCAGTGACTGGCTCATCCCTTCTGACGTGGCCGCTGTGAGAGTGCCCATCCTGTGCTTGCCGTGACGGTCTCCCTGCGAACTCATTTCCACCCCCAGGGCCTGCAGGGAGATAGAGGCCCTCCAGGGATGTCGGGAATTAAAGGCAAGAGGGTGAGTTGCAACGATTAACGTTTAACCAACGTCGGGTACCCAGCAGTAGCCGCGTTCCCCACCCGTTGCGGAGACTCGCGGTTCGAATCCGCCTGACGAGATGTTGACTACCTCGCCTGGTGTACAGGAGGTCGTGGGTTCGATCCCGACCCTGACACCTGCTGCTGTATATTTGGAGTTTGCGTGTCTCTCTCTCATCATCATCATCACGGTGGCTAGGAGATGTTAATTACCTCGTCTGGTGTACATGAGGTCGTGGGTTCGATCCCGACCCTGACGCCTGCTGCTGCTGTATATTTGGAGTTTGCGTGTCTCTCTCTCATGATCATCATCACCGTGGCTAGGAGATGTTAACTACCTCGCCTGGTGTACAGGAGGTCGTGGGTTCGATCCCGACCCTGACGCCTGCTGCTGCTGTATATTTGGAGTTTGCGTGTCTCTCTCTCATCATCATCATCACCGTGGCTAGGAGATGTTGACTACCTCGCCTGGTGTACAGGAGGTCGTGGGTTCGATCCCGACCCTGACACCTGCTGCTGTATATTTGGAGTTTGCGTGTCTCTCTCTCATCATCATCATCACGGTGGCTAGGAGATGTTAATTACCTCGTCTGGTGTACAGGAGGTCGTGGGTTCGATCCCGACCCTGACGCCTGCTGCTGCTGTATATTTGGAGTTTGCGTGTCTCTCTCTCATCATCATCATCACGGTGGCTAGGAGATGTTAACTACCTCGCCTGGTGTACAGGAGGGCGTGGGTTCGATCTCGACCCTGATGCCTGCTGCTGTATATTTGGAGTTTGCGTGTCTCTCTCTCATCATCATCATCACGGTGGCTAGGAGATGTTAATTACCTCGTCTGGTGTACATGAGGTCGTGGGTTCGATCCCGACCCTGACACCTGCTGCTGTATATTTGGAGTTTGCGTGTCTCTCTCTCATCATCATCATCACGGTGGCTAGGAGATGTTAATTACCTCGTCTGGTGTACAGGAGGTCGTGGGTTCGATCCCGACCCTGACGCCTGCTGCTGCTGTATATTTGGAGTTTGCGGTGTCTCTCTCCAGGTCCTCCGGGTTTTCCCCTCCATATTTAGAGTGTTTGGTTGATAACAATGTCTGTATAGTAAAATATCGACAGGTGTCTTCATAATAATCTTAGATTTTCACGAAGCGCCTTTCATAACTAAATTTTAAAGCGCTGCACGCACAAAGACCCCCCCGTGTAGCCTTGAGCAGACTGTCGGGGCAAGTGCTGTTAGCGAGCACCTATGAAAGCCGAAACGACACATGAGGGGGTGGGTGGCCAACACCACGCCCGGCCGCCTTTGTCTCCCCAGTGGCGATGTTTGCATACCGCACCAGGTACCAATTTGAGGCTGAGCCGACCTAGGGGAGGCCCAAGACAGTTTAAAATAATCGTCCCCGGTGTTGTCCGTGAGCGGCGAATCGAACCCGGGTCGCTTCGTAGCGCAGCGCTAACCGCTGCGCCACCGCTCCCCGCAGCGCGCAACACGTGCGGGAGAGAAAGAAACGAGCCGGAGAACACGGCACACGCCGTCCGCTTCAAGACGCCCTGTGGCGTAGCTCTCAAGGAGCGGATGCCACCCCCCAATCACGGCGTGTTCGCTTGGGAGAACGCCACTGTCCACGTTCACGCCCCGCTGTTGTGAGGCTACCACAGCCTGCGCCCGGGAGAACGCAGCGGGAGCGATGATTGCCCGTCGTCACGCAGGGACAGCTGCTACTGGGGGTGCCCCTAGGCTCGACCACAGCAGTAGCAGCGACATCGCCTCCCCTACTGACAGACTGACACACAGGGGCAGCTGCTACTGGGGGTGCCCCTAGGCTCGACCACAGCAGTAGCAGCAGCGACATCGCCTCCCCTACTGACAGACTGACACACAGGGGCAGCTGCTACTGGGGGTGCCCCTAGGCTCGACCACAGCAGCAGCAGCGACATCGCCTCCCCTACCGACAGACTAACACACAGGGGCAGCTGCCAACAGGGGTGCCCCTAGGCTAGACCACAGCAGCAGCAGCAGCAGCAACATCGCCCCCCCGCCTACCAAATAACGACTGTCAAATGTACCCAATTTGGACCACGGATCTTTTAATTTGTTTGTCGTATTAATTGCCCGCGAGCTCGCTTGCGGCTCTGGCCTGCACTTTGCCAGAACGTATCCACTCCCAGTTTTATCTTCCCCCAGGGAGCCAGGGGTGACGATGGGCTTCAAGGAGACGCCGGGTCTCAAGGCATCAAGGTAACGGCTCCCCGTCGCTTGCCCGCGCGCACCCTCTCGAAACTGCGCGCTCGTGAATTTGTGATGAAATGCATTGGGGGGGGGGGGGTCAGGGTGACTCCCGTAGGGGTGTGGTGCGTGCGGTCCGTTTGACGGGAGTGTGAAGTTCAATCTGAGTCGCTCGTTAATTTGTGTCTCTGGCCTCTCCAGGGTCCGCCGGGTGACGTTGGGATTCTTGGAGGACCTGGAGACATCGTAAGCGCGGATTTAAAAAACTCTCAACCCGTGGCGTTTACACGCGTGACTCAACACTGCCCATAGACTCAACACCGCCCATAGACTCAACACTGCCCATAGACTCAACACTGCCCATAGACTCAACACCGCCCATAGACTCAACACTGCCCATAGACTCAACACTACCCATAGACTCAACACTGCCCATAGACTCAACAACGCCCATAGACTCAACACTGCCCATAGACTCAACACTACCCATAGACTCAACACTACCCATAGACTCAACACTACCCATAGACTCAACACTGCCCATAGACTCAACACTGCCCATAGACTAACACTGCCATAGACTCAACACTGCCCATAGACTCAACACTGCCCATAGACTCAACACTGCCCATAGACTCAACACTGCCCATAGACTCAACACTGCCCATAGACTCAACACTACCCATAGACTCAACACTCCATAGACTCAACACTGCCCATAGACTCAACACTGCCATAGACTCAACACTGCCCATAGACTCAACACTGCCCATAGACTCAACACTGCCCATAGACTCAACACTGCCCATAGACTCAACACTGCCCATAGACTCAACACCATAGACTCAACACTGCCCATAGACTCAACACTACCCATAGACTCAACACTGCCCATAGACTCAACACTGCCCATAGACTCAACACTGCCCATAGACTCAACACTACCCATAGACTCAACACCCATAGACTCAACACTACCCATAGACTCAACACTGCCCATAGACTCAACACTGCCCATAGACTCAACACTGCCCATAGACTCAACACTGCCCATAGACTCAACACCCATAGACTCAACACTGCCCATAGACTCAACACCCATAGACTCAACACTGCCCATAGACTCAACACTGCCCATAGACTCAACACTACCATAGACTCAACACTGCCCATAGACTCAACACTGCCCATAGACTCAACACTGCCATAGACTCAACACTGCCCATAGACTCAACACACCCATAGACTCAACACTACCCATAGACTCAACATGCCATAGACTCAACACTGCCCATAGACTCAACACTCCATAGACTCAACACTACCCATAGACTCAACACTCCATAGACTCAACACTCCATAGACTACACTGCCATAGACTCAACACTGCCCATAGACTCAACACTGCCATAGACTCAACACTGCCCATAGACTCAACACTCCATAGACTCAACAGCCCATAGACTCAACACTGCCATAGACTCAACACTGCCCATAGACTCAACACTACCCATAGACTCAACACTGCCCATAGACTCACACTGCCCATAGACTCACACCCCCATAGACTCAACACTGACCATACACTCAACACTGCCCATAGACCTCAACACCGCCATAGACGTCAACACCCCCATAGACTCAACACTGCCCATAGACTCAACACTACCATAGACTCAACCCGCCCATAGACTCAACACTGCCCATAGACCTCAACACTACCATAGACTCAACACTGCCCATAGACTCACACTACCCATAGACTCAACACTACCCATTAGACTCAACACTGCCCATAGACCAACACTGCCCCATAGACTCAACACTGCCCATAGACCTCAACACTGCCCATAGACCTCAACACTACCTGACTACCCATAGACTCAACACTGCCCATAGACTCAACACTACCCATAGACTCAACACCTGCCCATAGACTCAACACTACCCTAGACTCAACACTGCCCATAGACTCAACACTACCCATAGACTCAACACCTGCCCATAGACTCATCACACTCCCATAGACTCAACAGCCCATAGACTCAACACTGCCCATAGACTCAACACTACCCATAGACTCAACAGCCCATAGACTCAACACTACCCATAGACTCAACACTGCCCATAGACTCAACACTGCCCATAGACTCAACACTACCATAGACTCAACACTGCCCATAGACTCAACACTACCCATAGACTCAACACTGCCCATAGACTCAACACTACCCATAGACTCAACACTGCCCATAGACTCAACACTGCCCATAGACTCAACACACCCATAGACTCAACACTGCCATAGACTCCCATAGACTCAACACTACCCATAGACTCAACACGCCATAGACTCAACACGACCCATAGACTCAACACTACCCATAGACTCAACACTACCATAGACTCAACACTGCCCATAGACTCAACACTACCCATAGACTCAACACTGCCCATAGACTCAACACTGCCCATAGACTCAACACTACCCATAGACTCAACACTGCCCATAGACTCAACACTGCCATAGACTCAACACTGCCCATAGACTCAACACACCCATAGACTCAACACTGCCCATAGACTCAACACTGCCCATAGACTCAACACTGCCCATAGACTCAAACTACCATAGACTCAACACTACCATAGACTCAACACTGCCCATAGACTCAACACTGCCCATAGACTCAACACTGCCCATAGACTCAACACTGCCCATAGACTCAACACTGCCCATAGACTCAACACTGCCCATAGACTCAACACTACCCATAGACTCAACACTGCCCATAGACTCAACACTGCCCATAGACTCAACACTGCCCATAGACTCAACACTGCCCATAGACTCAACACTACCCATAGACTCAACACTGCCCATAGACTCAAACACTGCCCATAGACTCAACACTACCATAGACTCAACACTGCCCATAGACTCAACACTGCCCATAGACTCAACACTGCCCATAGACTCAACACTGCCCATAGACTCAACACTGCCCATAGACTCAACACTGCCATAGACTCAACACTACCCCATAGACTCAACACTGCCCATAGACTCAACACTGCCCATAGACTCAACACTACCATAGACTAACACTACCCATAGACTCAACACTCCCATAGACTCAACATCCCATAGACTCAACACTCCCATAGACTCAACACTACCCATAGACTCAACACTGCCCATAGACTCAACACTGCCCATAGACTCAACACTGCCCATAGACTCAACACTACCATAGACTCAACACTGCCATAGACTCAACACTACCCATAGACTCAACACTGCCCATAGACTCAAACTGCCCATAGACTCAACACTACCCATAGACTCAACACTGCCCATAGACTCAACACTGCCCATAGACTCAACACTACCCATAGACTCAATCACTATCCCATAGACTCAGCACTGTCCATAGACTCAACACTGCCCATAGACTCAACACTGCCCATAGACTCAACACTACCCATAGACTCAATCACTATCCCATGGACTCAATCACTATCCCATAGACTCAACACTGCCCATAGACTCAGCACTGACCATATACTCAACACTGCCCATAGACTCAACACTGCCCATAGACTCAGCACTGCCCATAGACTCAACACTACCCACAGACTCAACACTACCCACAGACTCAACACTACCCACAGACTCAACACTACCCACAGACTCAACACTGCCCATAGACTCAACACTGCCCATAGACTCAGCACTGCCCATATACTCAACACTGCCCATAGACTCAACACTGCCCATAGACTCAGCACTACCCACAGACTCAACACTACCCACAGACTCAACACTACCCACAGACTCAACACTACCCACAGACTCAACACTACCCACAGACTCAACAATACCCATAGACTCAACACTGCCCATAGACTCAACACTGCCCATAGACTCAACACTCTTTTGTATGTGCGTGTGTGTGTTTACCTTTACAGGGCATGATGGGAGAAGTCGGCGACAAGGGGGAGCAAGGATTTCTCGTGAGTCCTAAATTGCGACCAACTTTCTTTGGACATTCGCAGAGAACGGCCCGCAGAAGCGGATATCATAGACCTACCTCTGAGATCCAATCTCCTTCAAGTGACTCTCTGTTGCACACAGAAAGGGCCGCAAAAGCGGATATCATAGACCTACCTCTGAGATCCAATCTCCTTCAAGTGACTCTCTGTTGCACACAGAAAGGCTCGCAAAAGCGGATATCATAGACCTACCTCTGAGATTCCTTCTTCTCGTTCAAGTGACTCTCTGTTGCACACAGAAATGCCCGCGGAAGCGGATATCACACAACTAGCTCTGAGATCTCCTTCTTCAAGTAAATATTGGTTTGACAGTCAAACACATTTTTAAAATTTTCACAGCCGAAATATATCAAAATCAAGTATAAAATCAACATTTATGTGTGCGTGTCTCTGGTGCGTATTAATTATGGGGAGCGGCAATGTAGTGGCTAGCGCTCCGCACTATAATCCTAGTTCGATCCCCGCTCACGACCAATCAACGGTGGCGATTATATCTGGACCGTTGCTGGGCCTCCCCTAGGTCGACTCGGCCTAAAAAAAATTGTTACCTTGCCCGCCGGCGTGTTCGCACCAGCACTTGCCCCCCTGGAGTCTGCGATGGCTGTACTGGGTGGTGGTGGGGGTGGCGGGGGGGTGCTGGAAGGGGGACGTCTTTGTCTTCTTTTGTATTAATTGCGTCTCAATTAGCAGGGTCTCCCAGGGCCTCCAGGTCCCCCTGGGGCGAAAGGGACCCCAGGAATGCCGGTAAGTTTCGTCGGAGATCTCCCCCCCCCCCCTTTTAATACTACACATACCCCCCTCGTCTCCGTACTCACACGCACGCACACACGCACACACGCACGCATACACACACACGCACACACGCACGCGCGCACACACACACGCACGCATACGCACGCACACACACACGCATGCACACGCACACACACACGCAGACGCACACACACACGCATGCACACGCACACACACACGCAGACGCACACACACACGCATGCACACGCACACACACACACGCACACACAAACACGCACATGCACACACACACGCACACACAAACATGCACACACGCACGCCCACACACACGCACGCATACGCGCGCACACGAACACACACACACAGGCACACACGCACGCACACACGCACACACGCACACACGCACACACACACACGCACACACACACGCACGCACACATACACACCCGTCATTATCGACAGCCTTCGTCACACTTCTCGGCCTGTTTCCCCGCGAGATGTTGACTACCTCGCCTGGTGTACAGGAGGTCGTGGGTTCGATCCCCACCCTGACGTCTGCTGCTGTATATTTGGAGTTTGCGTGTCTCTCTCTCTCATCATCATCACGGTGGCTAGGAGATGTTAACTACCTCGCCTGGTGCACAGGAGGTCGTGGGTTCGATCCCCACCCTGACGTCTGCTGCTGTATATTTGGAGTTTGCGTGTCTCTCTCTCTCATCATCATCACAGTGGCTAGGAGATGTTAACTACCTCGCCTGGTGTACAGGAGGTCGTGGGTTCGATCCAGACCCTGACGTCTGCTGCTGTATATTTGGAGTTTGCGTGTCTCTCTCTCTCATCATCATCACGGTGGCTAGGAGATGTTAACTACCTCGCCTGGTGTACAGGAGGTCGTGGGTTCGATCCAGACCCTGACGTCTGCTGCTGTATATTTGGAGTTTGCGTGTCTCTCTCTCTCATCATCATCACGGTGGCTAGGAGATGTTAACTACCTCGCCTGGTGTACAGGAGGTCGTGGGTTCGATCCAGACCCTGACGGCTGCTGCTGTATATTTGGAGTTTGCGTGTCTCTCTCTCTCATCATCATCACAGTGGCTAGGAGATGTTAACTACCTCGCCTGGTGTACAGGAGGTCGTGGGTTCGATCCAGACCCTGACGTCTGCTGCTGTATATTTGGAGTTTGCGTGTCTCTCTCTCTCATCATCATCACGGTGGCTAGGAGATGTTAACTACCTCGCCTGGTGTACAGGAGGTCGTGGGTTCGATCCAGACCCTGACGGCTGCTGCTGTATATTTGGAGTTTGCGTCTCTTTCTCTGGTAAAGGAGGTTCCAATGGTGTAAATGCTTAACCCCGAGCTCTCATACTCTGATGGTGCAATGTCTTTGAGTCGTGCGCCTTTTGGCGTCATCTGGTCCAACACCAAATGAGGTTCCAATGGGGGGAAAATGCAAATAGTTCAGTGTATCCTTCATTTATTGTTTTTGAGCGCCACGCGCTTGCGACGACGCGAGCCGCTACCGACCGCCGCAGTCGATCGGCCTGACCCCGGCCCCTCTCCTGCAGGGTCACCGCGGTCCCACGGGGGAGGTCGGAGCGCCGGGCGACGTGGGGCCAACGGTGAGACCCCCCCCCCCCCCCCCGTCTCTCTCCGCTGTCTTCTCCCCAGAACCGCGTCTTTACCCCCCCGCCCCCCCCCCTGCCTCTACCTCTGGACCTCGGGACTCGAGTGATCGGTCGGCTTGGGAATGGAGAGGGGGGCAGGGGCAAAGGTCGACCCTCGGTGGAGGTGGATTAATGACATCAAGAAACACCGCTGGCCTTACGCACCAACGCACCGACGCACTAACGCACTCACGTACTCAACAACAACAACCGCCATTCGCCACTAAGTGGCGGTGACGTCACCACGACGCTTGTGCCAGGCCATGTGCACCTTGAGGCTACCACGTGAAGTGTCGAACGCCCGCTGGCAGGAGGTCACGGGGCAGACCCAGCAGGTGCCACGGGTCGACTGACTGAGATGACCGAGATGACTGGCTGATGCACCACCTGTGCCCTCTACTGTACCAACTTGCTGTGCTTTAGCCACCCGGCGCTCCGCTCGTTGTTGTGAGCGTCGCTCGTCCGCCCTCCGTTGTTGTTGGAGGGCGACTGCCTCCAACTGCCCAGTAGCGTCCTTCATGAGCCTCCTCCACTGAGGCCGATCTTGACACCGCTGGTACCAGTCATCGGCAAGTCCACTCAGCTCCACGTCCTCCTGTACCACATCACTCCATCTCTTCTCTAGCCCGTGCCGCGCCCGTTTAGCCCCCTCGATCCGGCCGAACCAAAGCTGTTTAGGCATGCGGTGGCTGGGCACGCGAGGGGTGACGAGGGGTGACGAGGGGTGACGCGCAAACTCCTTCCGTTTTTGTTTCTTTTATTCCTGCCCCGTTGGCGGTTTCGTCATCGAGCATCGGCCGCCACGTGCAGACTCATGTGACCGTGACTCTCGCAGCTGCGGCGGGTTCATGACTATGGCGTCAGAACAAAGACGGTCGCCGCATCGCACGGTGGCTAGGAGATGTTAACTACCTCGCCTGGTGTACAGGAGGTCGTGGGTTCGATCCCGACCCTGACGCCTGCTGCTGTATATTTGGAGTTTGCGTCTCTCTTTCATCATCATCACGGTGGCTAGGAGATGTTAACTACCTCGCCTGGTGTGCAGGAGGTCGTGGGTTCGATCCCGACCCTGACGCCTGCTGCTGTATATTTGTTCGGAGCGGTGGCGCAGCGGTTTACGCGCTACGCTCACGAACCCGGCAACCCGAGATCGAATCCCTCTCACGGCCAACACCCGGTGACGATTATCTGAACCGGTCCTGGGCTTTCCCTAGGTCGACTCAGCCTCAAATGAGTACCTGGTGCGATGTGTAAACATCGCCACTGGGGAGACAACGGCGGCCGTCCGTGGGGCTAGCCACCCACCCCCTCGTGTGCCACAGTGCCGGACTTCGTAGGTGCTGCTCGCTAACAGCACTTGCCCCAGTGGCCTGTCAAAGGCTAGCCGGGGGACATTTGTCTTTGTCTAGGTCGTGCCAATCGTCCCTGATGTCTCACGAAGCTCTTTCCCCAGGGATTGCAAGGAGTCCTAGGCGACAGAGGGACCCCTGGCGACAAAGGAGACAAGGTAATTGTCACGGAGTTCATATTCGATGCGGCCCGATGCAGTTTGGAGCACCTGTTGCGCGTGATGGGGGGCCTCGCCCATCCGAGCAGTATGCAGGCTGAACCTCGCTTAGCTTCCCCGGCCTGACCGCCTTACTCGTTGTTGTGCTGTACTTCTATGCCGGCCAGGTCAGACAACTCGCGCTATCAGAGGCTCTTCGACCCGAGTTCTCAAGTGTCACGAGTTGGTGGAATCACATCATTCAATGTGTTCGTGCGCTCAATTTGGCCGAATTCCCACGATGAGAATTCCAACTATTGGTTTGGCTCTCATTGCGACGGACATCACATGGCAGAGCGGGTTTATAATGTGCGACGATTTGCTGTGTGTGGACCAGAGCGTCGCTTGAAGACGAAGGGATTTCAGAGGTAGCTCTGTCATATCCGTTTCCACGGGCGTTCTGTGTACACCAAAGCGCCACTTGAATAAGAAGGGGATTTAAGAGGTAGCTCTGTCATATCCACTTCCACGGGCGTTCTGTGTACACCAAAGCGCCACTTGAATAAGAAGGGGATTTAAGAGGTAGCTCTGTCATATCCACTTCCACGGGCGTTCTGTGTACACCAAAGCGCCACTTGAATAAGAAGGGGATTTAAGAGGTAGCTCTGTCATATCCACTTCCACGGGCGTTCTGTGTACACCAAAGCGCCACTTGAATAAGAAGGGGATTTAAGAGGTAGCTCTGTCATATCCACTTCCACGGGCGTTCTGTGTACACCAAAGCGCCACTTGAATAAGAAGGGGATTTAAGAGGTAGCTCTGTCATATCCACTTCCACGGGCGTTCTGTGTACACCAAAGCGCCACTTGAATAAGAAGGGGATTTAAGAGGTAGCTCTGTCATATCCACTTCCACGGGCGTTCTGTGTACACCAAAGCGCCACTTGAATAAGAAGGGGATTTAAGAGGTAGCTCTGTCATATCCACTTCCACGGGCGTTCTGTGTACACCAAAGCGCCACTTGAATAAGAAGGGGATTTAAGAGGTAGCTCTGTCATATCCACTTCCACGGCTCGTTCTGTGTGCACTAGAGCGTCACTTGAATAAGAAGAAGGGGATTTCAGAGGTAGCTCTGTCATATCCACTTCTGCGAGCTGCTATCTTACTCAGGGTGATACACTAGTCTCCGGGAGATGTCCTTCACCTAGTGATGCGAAGCCGACGGCACACGTGTGATGAAGTGATAAACATCAGCACCGGGGAGACAAAGGCGGCCGGGCGTGGTGCTGGCCAGCCTCCCCCTCGCGCGCCGTGTCGGCCTCCATAGGTGCTACTCGCGCGAACGGCACTTGCCCCGACAAGTCTGTTGAAGGTTACGCGGGGGATCTTTGTCTTTGCTTGTACCCAGGGATACACCGGAGGTCCGGGCGTTCCAGGCGAGGCAGGGCTGATGGGACTACGGGTGAGTGGGAACGCCGTCTGGAGAGATGAGAGGCTGATAGCAGAAGGCCCTGGGTTCAACTCCCGACTCGGGCTCCTTTCTGGGTGGAGTTTGTATGATCTCCCCCTGTTCTGCAGAGTGAGAGTGAGTGGAGTTTGTATGATCTCCCCCTGTTCTGTAGATTGAGTGAGTGGAGTTTGTGTGATCTCCCCCTGTTCTGTAGAGTGAGTGAGTGGAGTTTGTCTGTTCTTCCCCTGTTCTACAGAGTGAGTGAGTGAGTGGAGTTTGTATGATCTCCCCCTGTTCTACAGAGTGAGTGAGTGGAGTTTGTGATCTCCCCCTGTTCTACAGAGAGAGTGAGTGAGTGGAGTTTGTGTGATCTCCCCCTGTTCTACAGAGTGAGTAAGTGGAGTTTGTATGATCTCCCCCTGTTCTACAGAGAGAGTGAGTGAGTGGAGTTTGTATGATCTCCTCCTGTTCTACAGAGTGAGTGAGTGGAGTTTGTATGATCTCCCCCTGTTCTACAGAGCGAGTGAGTGGACTTTGTGTGATCTCCCCCTGTTCTACTGAGTGAGAGTGAGTGAGTGGAGTTTGTGTGCAATGGAGTTGCACAAAACTGAGTTGCACTCAACGGAGTCTATGGGCAGTGATAGTCTATGGGCAGTGTTGAGTCTATGGGCAGTGTTGAGTCTATGGGTATGTTGAGTCTCTGGGTGGTGTTGAGTATGTGGGTGGTGTTGAGTCTATGGGTAGTGTTGAGTCTATGGGTAGTGTTGAATCTATGGTGAAGTGTTGAGTCTATGGGTAGTGTTAGTCTATGGGCAGTGTTGAGTCTATGGGCAGTGTTGAGTCTATGGGCAGTGTCAGCCTATGGGTAGTGTTGAGTCTATGGGCAGTGTTGAGTCTATGGGCAGTGGTAGACTATGGGTAGTGTTGAGTCTATGGGGAGTGTTGAGTCTATGGGCAGTGTTGAGTCTATGGGTAGTGTTGAGTATGTGGGTGGTGTTGAGTCTATGGGTAGTGTTGAGTCTATGGGTAGTGTTAGTCTATGGGCAGTGTTGAGTCTATGGACAGTGTTGAATCTATGGGTAGTGTTGAGTATGTGGGCAGTGTTGAGTCTATGGGTAGTGTTGAGTTTATGGGCAGTGTTGAGTTTATGGGCAGTGTTGAGTCTATGGGCAGTGTCAATCTACGGGCAGTGTGTACGTGTGTTGAACATCTTTCGCACCGTGCGTAGCCGACTCCGCTAATCGTAGTTGCGTCCGGGGGGGTGGGGGGGGAGCAAAGTCAACAACAACGACAACACCAACAACAACAACACCAACAACAACAAGCGCCGTGCCGCTCTACCATCTGTGCGGCTTCCGTTGTCCCGCAGGGAGAAGTTGGCTCCGGTGGCGAGGAGGGATCGGGCGGAAACGACGGACTCAAGGTTTGCTTCCTGGAATCCCGCCACCACCACCGCCACCACCACCGCCACCACCACCACCGTCACCACCACCACCGTCACCACCACCACCGTCACCACCACCACCGCCACCACCACCACCGTCACCACCACCACCACCACCACCGTCACCACTACCACCGCCACCACCACCGCCACCACCACCACCGTCACCACCACCGTCACTGTCACCACCGTCACCACCACCACCGCCACCACCACCATCACCACCACCGTCACCACCACCACCGCCACCACCACCGTCACCGTCACCACCACCACCGTCACTGTCACCGCGCGGTTTCGCCGGCTCCGGTTTTGACGTCGGTGGCGGTACAACGTGACCGTTTACCGCTCCGATTAATTTTTTTTTTCGTTCAATTTTGACTTAAAACTTTCGTGACTTCAGCAGCAATTCAGATTCTTGGTTCTTTCGGTGAAGTCACTTAGATAGAAAATTTAATAGAAATTATAAATTGAAAATAGTTAAAGCTTTTATTAAAAAAAAAATAATAAAGGGGGGGTGGGGCGGGGGGAGTGGGGAGGTGCGAGTGGGGATGGTGGAGTGGGCAGGGGGGGAGTGGGGAGGTGAGAGTGGGGAGGGGGGGAGTGGGGAGGGGGGGGAGTGGGGAGGGAAGGGTGGGGAGGGGGGGGGAGTGGGGAGGGGAGGGAGTGGGGAGGGGGGGAGGGAGGGGGGGGAGTGGGGAAGTGGGGTGGGGAGGGGGGGTGGGAAGGGGGGGAGTGGGGAGGGGGGGGAGTGGGGAGGGGGGGGGAGTGGGGGTAGGGAGGTGGGGAGGGAAGGGTGGGGAGGGGAGGGTAGTGGGGAGTGGGGAGGTGGGGGTGGGGAGGGGGGGAGTGGGGAGGGGGGGGGCAGTGGGAGGTGGGGGTGGGGAGGGGGGGAGTGGGAAGGGGGGGTGGGGAGGGGGAGGGGGGGGAGTGGGGAGGTGTGGGGTGGGGCAGGGGGGGGAGTGGGGAAGGGGGGGAGTGGGAGGGGGGGGGTGGTGGGGGGGGGAGGGGGGATAGTGGGGAGGTGGGGGTGGGGAGGGGGGGGGGGGGAGTGGGAGGGGGGGAGGGGGAGGTGGGGTGGGGGAGGGGGGGGGGTGGGGAGGGGGGGAGAGGAGAGGTGGGGAGGGGTGGGGAGGGGGGGGAGTGGGGAGGGGGGGGAGTGGGGAGGGGGGTGGGGAGGGGGGGGAGTGGGAAGGGGGGGGAAGTGGGGGTGGGGAGGGGGGGTGGAAGTGGGAGGGTGGGGAGGGGGGGGTGGGACGTGGGGGTGGGGAGGGGGGGGAGTTGGGAGGGCGGGTTTATCTCTGGGAAAGAATCGGAGAATCCTGGAGGCAACCCGCGCGGATCAGGGGGAGAGAGCTCACAAAGACAAAGCCCCCACCCCGTGGCGCCAGGCCACCAGCACGTCGGGAGCAAGTGCCGTTAGCGAGGAGCAGCGCCCTCACGTGAAGGCCGGCACGGCACTCGAGATGACGCATTTGAGGCTGAGTCGACCTAGGAGGGAGGGAGAGGGGGTGGGGGGGGGTGGCAGGGCCAGGACCGGTTGGGCTAAATCGTCGCCGGCGTTGGTGACCGCGAGCTGGAATCGATCTGCGGGCCGTAGCCAGGAGGGGGGGGGGGGGTCACGCAGAGTGGGGGGTCATGCTGGTCCACTCTGCTCACGTTTCCATGTCCTTGGTGGCCAACAGAGGGTCCTGGTCAGAGGTCGCAAACGGGTTTTGATTCCTTACCCGTACCCGGCCGCACCAGGGTTGCAAACGGGTACCCGTACCCGGCCGTACCCGTACCCTACCCGTGCCCGGTCGGGTACGGGTAGGGTACAGGTACGGGTACCCGATTGCGACCTCTGGGATGAAGCCATGTTGCAGACGCGGGTGGGTTGATTCTAGGAACTTGAATTGTGAGAAGAGACAAGACGTTGGGAAATGAGTGACAACGGTGACTCACCAGTGACTCACGGCCTACCCGTACCCGGCCGCACCAGGGTCGCAAAACGGGTACCCGTACCCGGCCGGGTACGGGTAGCCGGGTATCGGGTAGGGTACGGGTATCGGGTACCCGGTTGCGACCTCTGGTCCCGGGTCGCGAGGCTGGATATCAGCGGCAGCCGTCTTCCAAAAAAGTGAGGAAGGAGGAAAAGGAAAATGCTTGGAAGCTCCGCCTGATGTTTTTTTTATCGGTTTCGTTTCATGCGGATTTGGAGGAGCGCGTTTGGCAGGCTGGGTTTCTCGTGAAACCTCGATCGGGTGTTTTTGTTGTTGTTGTTTTTGTTTTTGTTGTTGTTTTTACGACGGACGCGGACTTTCCCCGCGCGGCCGGCAACCATCGACGGACCACGGCACGAACTCGGCAAAAACTACTTTTGCATCGGCGGCGCAGTGAAACGTGCAAACGGTGGATCGCGTAAGAGCAGGCGACGGCTTTCGGACGGGATGTGACCCCTCTCAGTTCTCCCTCCCATCCCCCTTCCCCGCGTGAATCCTCCCCGTGTCGCCCTAGGGAGACAAGGGTGACCCGGGTCCGGACGGGGAGAGTGGAGAGAGGGCGGAGATCGGGTCAAAGGGCAGCGACGGGCCAGTGGTGACTCGGGCATCGTGGGCGTCAGGGTCAGTGTGTGGCTCTCTCTCTCTCTACAAAGACAAAGATCCTCACACCCCGTGTAGCCTTAAGGGACTGCTGGGGCAAGTGCTGTTAGCGAAGGCCGGCACGGCGCACTTGGGGGGTGGGTGGCCAGCACCACGCCAGATGCATGAAGACAAAGATTTAATTTTAGATTTGAA